TTTTAAAGATTAAGCACATACATAAGCACAAGTATCGCCAATTATTTTAACGTCCTCTGAACTGGCTAAAATTCCCAGCTGGAAACACTACTCAATGGCAGAGCCTCTCTCTCTCTCTCTCTAAGTGTGTCTCATCTCTAGTGGAGCAATGAAATCACATCAGTTCAGACATTTAAACAGAACAGCATTAGAGCACATAAATGTAATTTCACATTAAACGTGCAAATGCCAGAGGGGCCCCTCCAGTGTTAATCTCTAGGACCCAAGGCAGGTTCCCACAAGTCCTAGAATACATTAAAGTGCTCTGAATCACTTTTGTGCAACCTGGCTCCATTTGCAGGCCTCCTAGGGACAGTTCCTCAGCTAACACCTCTTTATCTCTTCCTTTTTCCCCCCTCATGTCCATGGTGGACCACTGCAGTGAGTATGTTATGGTGTAAAGCAGCGTTCTGGCAGCTGGGAGAGAATCCTTTTCCTTCAGCAGCCTGGGTGTTTGGAGCTACGGCAGAGGCTGGAGCTCAGGCTGTGCACACCTTGGGGTGCAGAGAACTCAGTGAGCCAAATTCATCAGCAGATACAAGAAGGGGAAAATTTTGTTTTGTTATGGATGCAAGATTATTTTTAAAATGCAGAATAGTCGGGAAAGACAGTGCTAAAGCTAAAGGTCTTCCCTCTCAACCTGTTGTAGCCAACAACAGAAAGAGCCAGCCTTTGTATATCAGCTGTGGGAGATCCTTGAAAATGCCTGCTCCCTGGGGAAAGCCTATACTGTTACATAAACTGAAGTGGCATGTCCAGGACCAACAATTTGATGGTGCCTCCAGGATTGGTAAAAAGGGCTGTCTTTACTGGGGCTGTTGAAAGTGACTGTAGCACTGAGGGCAGGCAGGGATAATGCAATAGCAACTGTGGTGGCACTGCCTGGCCTGGAAAGGAAGCCCAGTCATTCTCCAAGGGCTGTAACTCAGGCTGGATTAAAGAATGCCTTGGACCAACAAGCTGCTTAAAACTGCAAATTGCAAATAAACCATCATCTCTCGCAGATGATAGAGAAGGCAAAAAGATGACTTGCAGGCACTGGCTAATCATTTCACTCAGATGCATAATTACAGGGGACCTGACACTTCCTTAAGTGGTTATTCCAGCTGGTTAAATGAATGCACTGATGTTAGAGAAAAAACATGTATTTGCTATTCTACCATTCAAGCAGCATCCTACAGTGACTATCACAGGCTAGATATTTACTGATACTACTGCTAAAACTTTAAGCCACATAAAAACCTTCATCATATCAAACCCATGGTATAGTGTTAGAGCACAGCACCCACACTTAAAAGTGAGAGAGGTTGGTACTCACCCTGGAGAGCACACAGAAAGTGTCACTGCTCTACCTGGTCCAGGCTTTATATGCCCCTATCTCAAGGTCACTGCTGATAACTGTTTAAAGGCATCAGCAGTTTTCCCCCATGCCTATATTTGTCCACTGGATCCCAGCTGAGGAGACAATGCCCAGGGAGGGGACACATGTGGCTGTGCCCTGACGAAGGGGGGCAGGAATGTCAGTGGGGAATGGCACTCTCAGTCCTGGCCACCCCTCACCACACTTTCATTCTTGCTCCATGACTTCATGGAAGAAGCCTTTCCTGCTTCTGTGTTTTCACTAGGGCAAGTATTGCTTTTCCAAGTGCTTCAGAACTTCATTACCATGGGCTTGCGGGGGGTTGTGTGTGTGTGTGTGTGTGTGTGTGTGTGTGTGTGTGTGTGTGTATTAAGACTATTCAGACATGACTCCTCTGGAATATAAAAATCAAAGCTTTCTGCGCCAGGAATAAGTGATTATTAAGGGAATTTGGTTACAAATTCCGTTCAAGCAGCGAGGCTAGGAAGTGGGTTCTCACATCCCAGCCAAGGGCTTTAAAACCCCTTTTTGAGCTCCAGGAGTTTTAAAGCCAAGACTATAGGCTCAGGTTTGGAATACACAGGTGTTCCCCAGTTTATGAACAAGGCAATACAGGGAAGAAATCTAAGAATGTATTGATTCTGCCTGGAAAGTGAATCACAGATAAAGAACAAAGTATGCATCAATTTTAGTGAGCCCTTTGCTCCAGGAAACTAATTTATGAGTCCCAATTTAGGCAATGTCTGGCCTTTTTATTGTAAACTCATTTTTCCTGTGAAAAAAGCACCATGAGTAACTCAGGTCTCATTTCATTGCAACCCATAAATAACAAAACAACTGACACTGCTAGACTGATTTGCTTTTACCAGCATAGGTAGATGGATATATAGGTTTCCTTTTGTTCTAGCATAAGCTGAATATAAAAGCAGAAAGGAAAATAAATACTGTGGATAATGCTTGTTGGCCACAAGGGAAGACAATATATTTGTGCTTTGCAAAATTCAGTTCCAAGGAAGCAAGGAGGGAGCTTATCCACAGCTTCATTAAATTCCTAGATACACACAGGAACAAGTGACTTGGTTTGTGACCAGTCAAGAAGGAAAATGTCTGCATAGTGAGTCTGCTATTTTTAAAGCTGTTACACTGATGACTGGACAGGGACAGGTTGTACAGACAAGTTGGTTTGTAAGAAACAGGAATTTCTGGAAGTGATAGGCTCAGAGACAGGAGACTGAGTGGCAGCTTGAGGATTTGAGCACTTTGGTAACTTGGTATTTTTAGCATTTGGGGAATGCAACCCAGAGACAGAGAATCACTACTGCTGTGCTAGAGACATGCTCACCTCCAGACAGAATGGAGAAAAGAGTGCTCTGCTAGGGAGCAGAGGCAGGGATAAGAGCTAGGGATGAAGCCTTCCATCCTGGTCTGTATTCATCTGTGAAAGGAACCTGCACTCCAGCTGAACACAAGCAGCTTGTGTCACGTTCTAGAGTTTGACTGGCTGTCACACTCACACCAGAGTTGCTGCCTGGCCTGCTGCCTTAGAGGTGTTTGGTGTCCTGCAGCACAGATGTGTGTCGGTGTTGGATCTAAATCACCCTCTTTTTGCTTTATATCTGTCAAAAAAGAATAGAGAGGTGGTGATTTTGGCTGCTGAGGTGAACAGAGAGTAGTTGTGTAAACTCAAGCAGATGCTCCTGATCACATAATTGGAAACAAGGTAAATCACAAGCATCACCAAAGCTTTATGGACATTGTTAATCTGCTGAGAAGACTGAGAATATGATTATTTCAAGCCATGAGGATACAAAATGCTGATACTCTCTCCCTCTTGCTCCTCTCTCACGTAGCCAGGAGCTTTACTTCTAAACACAATATTCTCATTTACCACCTACATTGCTTAGAAGAAGCCATCTTCTTACAAATACACTGTTATCACTTACATCTTTTCTGTTCTTCAAATAGTCAGCTTTCATCAGTCCTGCATGAACACTACAATCTTGCTCCCACGCCTCCCTTTTCTTTTTTGGGGTTGCAAACAACTGTTTCCATAGCTAATTCTAAAGCAATTTCAATGCTTTTGTCACTTAGAAAGGGACACAGATAACTGGTTCAAACATAATCAATTTATTTTCTTTGCTAGCCTGATATGAATGGATGCTGCACATTAATCCTGCCTTTGTGGAGTTTTTTTGCTTCCTCTTAATATGAAACAGAAATTGCAGCACGTTTTCCCTAGATTAAATTTGTAACAGGGACAACCAAAGACATTTGTCTTTTGCAGGGGCTACTTTTAGAAAGGTTAATGCTGGTCACTGTTTCTAGGGAAACAAGGGTCTTGATAAGGAGCTCTTGTGACTAAACTATTTTTAATAACATTACATATTGGAAAGGAATGCAATAACATTTATCAGCTCTAGACAGAAGATAGTGTCAATATCTTCTGGTCTAATATACAGAAGTTGACATATTGGATCTGTAAAAAGCTCAGTTATGAACCCTCTCTATTTTTGTAGACAAAAAGATCAACCAGCCAGCTGGGTTTTGACAAAAGCTGGCCTTTAGACTACTCTTAATAAAATGTTTACTGTAATAACCTGGCACTCATGAAAAGCAAGATCAATGAGAGAGAAGGACACCAGTTTAAGAGACAGATGCTTGGAGAAAACATCTTTGCAGTCAGGATCCCCTGGGTTGCTCTATAAAAAAAAAAGCAGAAAGATCATCACTCTACAAGAAGCATCTAAAAAGAATGAGAATCTATTGTTTACCTCAGGGGCTTTTTTTGGTCACTGGTCCCTGCTGCTGTTGCAGCCTCTATTTAAAAAACAAATGGGAAAGAACCAAAATGACTTAGTTGGATGACAAAGTTCATCCATCTGGGAATAGTTTCAAGAGAAGAAAGATGTTAACATCTTATCCCAGAGCAAAGCCAGGCCCACTCTGAACAAGTGATTTATTTTGTCTTGTGAAGAATTATGTTTTAATTCCTTAAGCCATTGATGGCCCAAAGCGAAATTGGAGGGGGAGAGAAATTTAGATTTAAAAATAGTTGCACTCTGCTACATCTCTTAAGCATGAGAAAATTGGCACTGAACAGTACATTGAAAGTATATTTATGACAGCTAGATTCCCATTATTAGACTGGAGATTTTCAGGTCTCTGCCAGCCTTTGTGCTCCACCTGCTGCAGTGCCTGTGCTTGGCCATGGACGCATGTACCTGCAGCCTGAAGAGGTATCAGGAACATCTCTTCACCTTCCTTTCAGCATCATAATTTTAAATATTTTCCCTCAATTAATTCTTTGCTGACAGCTACTGTGTGGTGTGACAGTAGAACAGAAATTTAAATCTCTCTATGGAAAGCATCTGCTTTCATACAAATATGCCTGGTGAAATAATTCCTAAGCCACCAAAAATGTTTTAAGTGGCTTTTAAGCCACTGTAATGCGTGATCTATTGCTATCAACATGTAAACCCCTGACACCTCTTCCTGTTTTGAGCAGCACGGGGTCAGCAGGGACTTCAGAGCATTAACCCTCTAAACCACAAGAGCGTAGCCGATCTTTCCAGTTTGGCAGCGCCCGTCCCTCAGCCTCTCATCCCATGCCAAGCGCGGCGCTCCGGGCTGCAGCGGCACGCTCCCCTCCCGCTCCGGCCCGGGACAATAAACATTGCCGGGCTGTCACTGCTGCCTCTCCCCTGCTGACATTCAATCATTACGGTATCTTAAGAACGTTTAAATAGGTCAGGTTTTTAATGGGAGAGCTTGGCTTCTGGGAGTGAGACTGACAGCCTTTTGAGAGCAGATTAACAGCGCTGATAAATCAATCTCAGACTGACTCACAGCCATAAGAAAAATAAGAAGAAGAAAAGGGAGCCTCGTTAAATAAATGGTCTCAGTCTTCGGCTCTGGAGATGTACCGGAGGAGGGAAAGAAGGCTTTTGTCATATGCCTCGTCACTCTTCTTTCTCCAAATTTGACCACATCCCCCACTCTACCAATGTCCTCTGTTGGAAGTTTTCCGTCTCCAGTGATCTTGCCTGCCCATCTCACCCTGCTCATCAGGTCAGAGATTAATGGTATGTTTTGAGAATTGCAGTGCCTCCTTTTCCCAGCTATCACATAGCCTAATTGCCATTAGTGAGTTTTGGGTTTCCCTCCCCCACCTCACCTTAAACTACTCTGCATTATCCATAACCACCGGGGAAAGGCAGGGGGTTAAAAGCATACAGGCAATTCAGGTTAATCTTTTGAGTATTCATTAACGAAGCATTTGTTTGCATAGCACGTCATTAGAATTACCGTAGTCCCACCACCAATTCCATTAAACCTTTCTGAAGCTAATAGCAGAAGTATTTTAGTCTTGATCAATGCAAGGCAAAAAAGGAATCTAAGCGTCTCTCTGGGGTTTCTATTGCGCAATCGGACTTCAAAGACATGGTACTTCATTAGCCTACTTCAGCCTCTGACTGTGATGCACTCTGTCTGCTCAAGCAGCCTGAAAACCACATTTCCATTTCAATAGGCAGCGCTGTCCTAAAATACTCCTAGGTCTTCAGACACAACATATTCTAGCTCCTGGTGCCAAACTCCTGCAAGACAACTTGCCTTTTTTTGCCTTTTTTATATTTCAGCTCCAAGGATTCAGAGCCTGCCCTTCAGGTGTGGGTAGGGGTGGGTACGGTCCTTGCTGATTGCCTGGTTTTGCTGCTGTGGAAACTTATTTTTCAGAGGAGCTGCGGGTGAAAGAAGTAAAATATGCATGCACAGGAGGTTTTGTGATTTTTCAGTTTTTCGCTGCTGTAACTCTATGAGTCATAACTCGACTCTCAGTCAAGGATTGTTTGTGCTATCTTTTGTTTACCTATGCCAACTGCAAGCTACACTAAAACACACAGAGACAGTTTAATGGTGAAACAATTGTCATGGGGATACTTTATTAACTTTGCAAGTGCTGACGGAATAAACCCAATGTGATTGGCATGATGCTAATTTAGCAGGAAAACACTGCAGGAAGGAGACTGTGTGAGTTTTTCAGCATTTACATTCTGTAAGCAACAACAAAACATTACTTCTTTCCAAATACAGATACACTGGGCTGGTCACCTCTGCTGAAAATTCAGTCAGCAAAGCTTCTTGAAATATTAAGGCCAGTTTTTAAAGAAAATCTATTTCCAGGAGTATTACCTTCTGCCTGAAAAAGCACAAGTCTGTTCTTCTCACATGGCCTAATGATTTGACACTTTTTGTCAGTTGAATTTAAACACCTCCAAAAATGGACATGACATCCTTCTCTCCAACAGCAGTATTCTGGAGTGACTGGCTAGTGTGTGCATGTGTGCATGTAAGTGTATATATAGGAGAGACACACATATATATTTACACATCTTGTGTGTATGTCTGGACATATCTATACATATATATATATATATATATATATATATATATATATATATATATACTTATAAATGTGAAAACAAGTTTATTTTCTAAACCTCTCCCCTCCCAGCTGTGACGTTCCACACTTAGGTCTCACTACCAGACAAAACAGCCTTTTTCTTGGACACTTGACCTTGCCAATGCTGCTGTACCACAGCCGAGCCTGGCAGACTCTGCCTGCTGTGCTCCCACGATGCTGGAGCTGAAATCCTGCCCCCAGCAAACCCCTCCGAAGCGTGTCAGGCTCAGCCTCTCTTCTGCTCCCATTCTGTTTGACGAGCACATCGTGTCTAACCCTGGGGTAATTTCTGGAGAGGCACAGCGGGGCGAGATGGGAAAGGGGGGAGTTGTTCAGGGAGGGCAGAGCCAGGAGTGATGAGATGACAGGAGTTACAGGAGAGAGGGATGGTGAGAAAAGGCTGTGCTGGACCACCCAGAGGAACCTATGGGTGCACTGGAGAAAGGTTGCACTACCTAGCCAGACCAAAACGCATGGAGACACCATCACTGAGACCAGCCAGGCATTGCCTTTGAAGAGGACAACCAAATTTATCACAATACTGATAAAAAGCACAACAGCAGCTGTGATCTCCAGTGAGGCTACAGGCACAACTCTCTTCAGAGTCACACTGGATCCCCAGCAGCAGCCAATTTTGTTGTAACAGAATTGACTCGAGTTGATTTTAAATATATTTTTCTTTATAGTTTTTTTTTTTCTTTTGTAACTGAAATATGCACTTTATCTTTACAGGAAAAATTATGAAGGAGACGGAACAAAAAAAATATCAGATCATACACCTGAGGCTTCTTGCACAAAGCCAAAGTATCTACTACGTATGTAGGTATATGCATTTCAGTCTCACCCAATGGTCTAGAAAAGAAAAGGGAAAGAAAATATTAACATATCCAGTATGATGATGCAAAGCTAGATCGCTATAAAAATGCTGAACAGGAATGGAACACTGGGCCCCTTTGAAGCTTCACTTTAAACACCAGTAGCTCAGCAGCATGAAAACACTAAAGAACTCATTTGACAAGACCACCAGCCCAGCTGAGTGACTCATTTTCATCAAAACTCACTCAGCAGAAAACCTTGGATTTGGATCTACGCAGCATGTCCCACAGCAGCTTCTCACCAGCAGGTTCATGTATTCAAATCTCTTCCCCAACAGAGCATTTGGGAACAATCTTGGTTGAAAATCTGTTTACCACTCTGTGGGTGTACACTGTTATTCATCTCACCTTTCCAGATGCCCTTCTGCAGGTCTGGTGGCTGTGCCTTGCTTCTGCTAGAGAAGAGAGTGAGATCCTAACAATAACTCCTGCAACAAGGGCAACAAAATAACATTTTTGTTTATATAGCTATAGAAAAATGTATATCATGTTTTAAAAATCAACCTGATGTTTTTCTGAGGATCCAAACTCACAGCAGGAGACTAGCTAAAAAATTTAACACAGAACTTTGAGAAAAATATAGGCTATTTTTGGGTGTGAAAATGTGCAATATTAACAAAAAAAAGAGAGAAAAAAAAGATAAAAGAAAAGGAAGCTGTGTTTTTTGAGTTGGATCATTCTGCCTCTTGCCTGTTAAGCAATGCAGTCCTGGTAGACTCTAGTTCTTCTTGTACTGCAGTTGATGGACAGGGATTTTCCATAGCGGAAACATCTCCCCTGTTGTCATCACTCAAATGTGCACCAGAACCACAGAGAAGGAACTGCAGTTCTAAAGTCCAGGTGATTTCCATTGGATTGCCAGCATGGCCTTCAGACCTACCTTTACCCATTACTGACACACCTTCATACTTCAAGATATGCAAGACATCATGATCAGAAGGAAAATGAGATTAAATAAATGGTGTGATGCCGAAATTACTGTCACCTTTCTAGGAAAGGGAAACTGAGGCAAAGGTAGGGGCTACATCCATACAAATAATGAAGTATTAAATTCCCACTCCTTTCTCTGTGTGGAGTTACAAGTAGATTACCTACCAAGAAGGACTAGGCTTCTTTGTGTGTTCATGGTCATGCTGTTGGACCAGGAGAAGAGTCCAGGCAATAGGGCTGTAAGAATTTGACAGTGCCCTCAGAGCAAGTCCCACCCTTCTCCATGGGCAGACAGGCTTCTCAGCACATGGGTCATCCTTGTACACTTGGTTTTAAAAGCAGGGATTTTACCTGTGCAAAAATGAATGGCAAGTTGTTTCTCACCCAAGCAGTTTATGAATTCAGAAGCATTCTTCTGAGTGAAGAATGAGAGGAGCAGATTTTAGGTTCTGCACATGTAAGGAGCAATGCACTAATTGGCACTGTTGTTCACAACAGAATAGGTCAATACATCCAAAGGCAATAGCAATGCCCTTTATACTTGCAGTTACACTGAAGGAAGATTTGGCTCACTCTTCACTGGACACACAGACTTGGGTTTCAGCTATTTGCAACAAGTGGAAAACTATCCTGAATACACCTGAACTGCTTACAGTTTTCTAGTGCCACACAGGATGTCTGTACCTTGTCAGGTAAAAAGCATGCCCATTAAAGTATGACACCAATAAGCTGAATTTATTTCAACCAGGTAACTAATCAGAAAGCAGATGTATAGATCCATTCCCCAGAAATAATAAACCAAATGACATTTAAGTAGTAGGCACCATTCCGTCCCATGCTCATGCAATGCAGACAGGTCTTACTGATTTTTTCATAGCATATGCATGAAGTTCGAAGTTCAAACCCAAATATTTTCCTAACCAGAAAGGACACAGTCTTTCAGACTACAGACTCAAGATGTGTTTTAATGACAGTTTAAAAAAAAAGTATGAGGCTTATGGGAGGAGGTCCAAAAGGACAAATGAAACAGAACCTTCCACACCGTCCCTATTCCCGATACCACAGCCTGTTTGTTAGCAGAAACAATGTGTGGCATGTCACATGGGGCTCTGCTGAGATGAACTCCACAGCCCTGACCCTGAATCACTGATAAAGTCGTGACATGGAAAAAAGGGTGGCCTGAGTGCCTTCACAACAGCCAAGCTCTGGGACTCAGCAACGCCTGCCATAATCCTGTTATCTCCTGTAAGTGTCTCCTACCAGTGTTATCAGAGCCAGAAGTGCAGAGGTATTAGCAATAGAAAGGTATTTTGGGCCTGTGCTCCCTCACTGGATGGGGTTCCTGTCTGTGTCCCACTGTCCAGTCCAGCAGCAAGGAGCTGAGCACAGGGAGCACGTGTGTGTGGGGGCACGGGGGGCCAGCCACCACAGCTGCTTGGAGCGGAGGCATTCCAAGGAAATCCAAACCAGTCATTCAGCCATACCTGAGCAAATTCAGAGCATTTGGTTTCCCTTAGTGTCACCTCCTTTCCCTCCCTGCCCTCACCTAAGGACAAGATGGTCTAGGAGGTGACGTGTGATCTCCCTTCACACCTTTCTCTTCTTGGGCTTGGGGAAAGGCACACGGCAGAAGGAGAACACCAACAGACCTCATTGCTTGTGGCTCCACCTTTACAAATCAAGACAACCAGATATGGGCAAAAAAGAATAGCTAGCAGGGATTTCTTTCAATCTTATTCCTCCTTTATTCATTAATGTCTTCAAAGATATCCCTTTCCTCCCCCCAAAAAAACCCTCAATGAAACAAGTGTGACACTTCACCTTGGTTGCTGCTGCAACCTGATGAAAGATATTAAGCACAGATATAATTGACAAGATTCAGCACTTGCCATGTTTATCAGAGTTTCTTTGGAGATCTCAAATATCAATAAAAAAGGAATTCAGTAATTGATAAGAGAATATCTTCCCAGCCATAAATATTGGAGTCACTAAATAAAAGAAAAGCTGAAAAATCTGTGTGAACTGATGATAAGAACAGATCATTAATATTAAAAATGCAAATACAGAGAGGATATATACCATCCCCCCACACCAATGGTATTTCTGATCAGCCAGTCTAAGTAAATCCAGCCCAGCATTTATGTTCTCAGCTTGAAGTAAAATATTAAGGACAGAATAACAGTTAGGAATATGACAAAGATGTTGCCTCCAATAGCCTCCAACCAAGCATCACTAATCCAGGAAATTAAGAGATGATTAACTGAATTGAAATAAGAAATATGCAGCTACAGTCTTCAAAAAGTCTCCATGTTGTGGCACAGTGAGGACAGATTGTGACTAAGGGATCTGTTTGTATTCCTACGAGCCTTTTTAGAGCTGATTCCACCTTTCTGGATTTATTGAATGAGTAATCACTAGCATTGGTTCATTTTATCTGGCTTTTTTCCCTCCCCTTCAGGAAGTTCCTATTTAAAAATGTCTGTGTGGAGACTGAACGAGAGGCACCAGCTGGGGTTCCTGTACAAGATTTCTGTCCTTCTGGAGGAGCAGAGTGATATTTTAAGAGCAGAGCCACTGGAGAAGCATAAGACAGCCAGCAGCCACCAAACTCTAAAGAGGCTGGCACCAGGTTTGCCTGACTGAAGCCTTGCACAAAGCAGCCCATTCCACACAGATTTGGCTTTTAATATGGGTTAGGGCATTTTTTTTTTTCACTAAAGGGAGAACATATACAAAGAAATTCTGGAGGGATTCTACCAGCACCAAATGTTCTCTGGGGTTCTCCCTCATTCCCAGCAGCAGGCAAGGTCTCAGTGGCATGAGGGACATTTCAAGCAGAAACATGCAAGCCATTCAACCATTAAGCCATTTAACCTTTCAAGACTAAAGCTAAGTGACACAGCTAATCCCCCAGTGAAAGTGTGTGTTCTCTGTCTCTGCCATAAGAGTGACATCCCAGCCACTGCAGAAGAATGGTGGTAAATTGCATTATTTCCAGTCTCATGGTGGAACTAGTTAAAATTTTTTGGGCTGTACTCTAGATGTAACATTAAATACAGCCACTGCTAATAACTTAGCTTAATTATTAGCTGATTTATTAATCTACATGCAGGCAGAAGATTTCAATTATTTTTAATTATATGGAAAGTTCCAAGTGTCTTTTTTTATTCCATTAAGATCGTTCAAAACTCTGTAAAACCTGCAAGCGCTTAATTCTTTAAATGACAGTTTTTAATTAATTTGAACTCAGGCTAATTAAAATATTTGTAGATTGCAACAACCTAATTCATTTTTAAAAGGCAAGCTTTTACATCTGCAGCAAATATGCTCTATTTTCCATTGGGATTAAAGATCCTGCCCCTGTTTGAAGTGCAAAACCCTCTTCAGCCTTAACAGTGGAATTACAAGTGACAGCAGGCAATAGAAGCGCTCCATCGGCTTGGGCTGTGTGCTACAAATCACCTCCTGAGCGTTCCCAAGTTCACTGCTCCCACTTGCATGAAAATCTGGGCACTGGAGACAGGAACAAGAGTTTCAGCAAGCCTTTGGTGGTAACAGCCTTGGCTTAACCCCTCACATATCAAATACCTCTTTGTGTAGCACTGGGTAAAGGGAAAAACCAATGGCCGCCTCTGACATCCACCCTGCAACAAAATTTGCTAGGTACCCCCCAGAAACTCTAGCTTCAGTGGGTAGTTTCAAAAAGGAAAGGCAAAGGGCTTTAAATTTGTAAGCCACAAAAATAAGGCTGTGGTTGTGCTACAGATGTCTCACCAATCACAACTACTTTTGTCTTCTCTGGTGATTTCTAATGTCATTTGACAAAGGGGAGGTGGCTCCGATGACAGCCCAACAAATCAGTAGCTGGCTGCAGGATGGACTATGAAGCCAACACAGTTAGGAGTTGTTTTTGTCATATTATGTATTCCAGAGCCCAGGCTTGCTAGCACCTCCATAACTTCCAAACCAGAATCATGACTTGCCATTTCCACCCCAGGAACAGAGGAGAAACCCCATTGATGGAAAGCTGCAGGATGTGATTGGACCAGGTCCTGTACAATCCCACCTGGGCTCCCTTTCCCATGAAAGGGTGAACCAGAGGATCTTCCCAGGTCCCTTCCTACCTGGGCTGTGCTATAATCACTAGGGGCACAGAAAAGAAGAAACTTTTCTGTAGAACAAAACAAAGGCTTAAGGAGGACAAAGGACCTGATCCCATGGTGCATAGATTTTGCTGCTTTCAGTCTGTGCTGCTTTAAAGGCATGAAAGTCACCGAGTCCTTGACTGGCATGAGCCAAGTTGGATTTTCATCACAACACCTTCACACAGCTGCTGGCTATGAGCTTCCTTCATATACAAATATAGCTAATGTATACAGTGATTGTTGGCTTGATTCCTTCATTTAGAGTGAGCAAGGCATATAGCCATAGTAACCAGCTCCTGCCACTGAGTCTTCCTCTTCTGAAGGCAATCCATTTATGCATGGCTCTGTGAAGAGGAGTTCACATTTCTCCTGTCTGGAAGAGCAGGAGAAGGAGTTCTGGCTCTGCAGTTCTGCCACACACTGCAGGCATGACAAGGAGTGACCTTGGCTATTGTTCTGTAAGTAGTTTTCCAACATGTCACACACATCTGTTACGCACTTATCAACCCACTTGAGTCTGTATAAACCAGCCAATATTCTCTTTCCTAGGCAGGGTTATTAAAAATGCATCATCAGTGTGCAGTAATATCCCCAAACAAATTTCTTAGTCAAGGTATTAATAGTTTTAAGATGTTGGGAAAACATTTTCAATGAGTTCATGGAGTTTCATAGCAAAATAGGCTTGTAGCTAACATTAGCATTTCTCCTGCCCAAAGGACATTGAATCTGAGGACATTTAGCTTTTAATGCTTTAAAGATATGAGCATGCCAGAGCATTTAACACAAGATAACAAAATCCAATTTCACTTGTCTCGATCAGCCTTTGTAAGTGCTGCTACTCAAGTGCTGAACTCAAGTCCCAGATCTGATCTAAGCTTTATCCTTTTCTAAATGGGTAAAAATAAACACATCCTTTCTGGCCCTTTATGGACACAAAAACATTGCAAAGAAGGAAGAACACTTGTACTCTAAAGAACTGAGCCAAGCAGCAAAGATTACCTCAAAAGGACATGCAGCAAGTATTACTTTAGTTGTTGAGCTCTTTATGGTAAATAGTGGTGTTCATATATAAACTGAAAGATTCATATGGCAGTTTAGATACAGACCTGTAAAAAAAATCTCACCTCCTTCCCCAGAAAGCCCTAAAGAGGTTACAGAGACCTTCACATAGAAGAATAATATGCAGAGACCAAGAAAAAGCCTAAAGCTATTGTGATATTTTTAATTGCTACACAGTACTTTCCTGAATGAACGGGAAGCTGCCCATATGCATGAACTGTGGAAAGCGACTATTTTAGACAGCAGTAGAACAGGTTTGACCTAAATGCCCGAGCCCAGAACTTGCCAAAGCCCAGGTGGCATCAGTAGCCCATGGAATCCCTGTGCTCTGAAGCATGCGTGTAACTATCCAACAAAAAATTGCCAGTTTCTACCAGTGCTATGAAAGGTCATAATTTAATATTTCAGTCCAGCAGAGTTCTCATCCAAGCACTGTCCTTGTTAGACTTTCCTGGGACTGATGATGTTTAATGACATTGGGAGAAACCCAGGAAAATATTATACAGAAACAGACAGAGACTAATGCCAGACTTCAGCTACCCGATCCAAAATTGTTATCACACTTCAGTGAATGGGAAATAGTTCCCAAAGATTAGGACCATTCCTTCTATCTCTCCTCTATTTACTTTCAGCCTTAAGTTCTGAGAAATGGAAGAACTCTGGGGAGGTGATGGTGTAGAGGACACTCTAGCTTGTGTAAGACAAGCCCCATGTTTCTTAGGTTGTAGGACAACCCCCACTCTTACATCCATCTATCCATGGCTATAGTGTAATAGTTTTTTAAATTACATGCATCACACACAGTGGTAAAATTCTTACAGATTTAAACACTAAGACTTTACTTTTAAACCCTTTCCCTCTTAGACTTATTTACATAAAACCTCAGCTTTATCTCAACAGGATAATAAGGAAAGATAGAGGGGTCTTAACAAGTATTACTTTCCAACAAACAGCAAAGTCATCACAGAGCTGCAGCTCTGGACTTGCATTTGCTTGGGCTTGGCCAAAAGACTTTTCACCCTCTAGCAATGGTCACTTGCAATCCTCCCTTGTAAGCAGAGTTGGTAAGCTAATAAAATCCTGACTGCAGCTTAGGCCTACCTTCTGTCTTTTCTTCTCACCAGCTTATAAATAAAGATGACAGAATCATCAGGCCTTGAGTAGTTAGATGTATAATAAACAAGGTTTGGGAGCAGGAGGGAAAGGGGGAAGGAAAAATGTCACTTGAGTACTCCAGGCTTCAGAAATAGAACGCAAATTGGAGGCTGTGTGACCTCGCACCAGCACCTGTGTGCATAAGCACTCTGCTTCCAGTGCTGTGATTAGATGCTGTTTTTCCCCTGGGGGCTCTGCCTCATTCTGCATATGAGATAGGTCTTCGTGGGGAGGAAGGCAGAGTCAGGTGGTGAAGGAGACTCTGCTGTCTGCTCGTCCTTTCCACTCTGTTGCAGAAGCTGCCTTCTGTGTGAGTCAGAAGTGGGAAAAGAAAGATGATTTTTAAGATTCAAGTAATTGCTTGCTGCATTAGTATGCCAGGAGGCTTCACTACAAAGTACCTGTGTCATGGCAAGCAAGCCATTTACGCCAACTTTCAGACAGACAGCTACCATAACTGGTTGTATTTCCTATGTGGCTGGAGGTTGAAACCCCTAATTTGCATGGAAATGCTGACAGGAAACACATAAAAGTAACAGCATGGCAGGGCTGCAGTCAAAGCCACCAGGACCAGCCTCTGGAGCGATGGAAAGCACACTTGTGCATGCAGGTGTGAAGTGCTATGAAGCAAAAAATGGAGGTTTTCAGCTCTTCACATAAGAAGCCCCAAAACAGCAGTTTACCCCAATTCATCATGGTACCATGAAGGCAATTGTATGTGGACACTGTAACAGTCAGTACCTCACAGAAATGAGTGGGTGAGAAAGGCTGCACATTACAAATTCTGTCTTGGGGTTTTGTAGCTGCAGGCAGGCATATCTTTGCACATACATAACCACAGAATATGCTCAGCTGCAAGGGACCCTCAAGGATCACCGAGTCCAACTCCTGGCCCTGCACAGGACATCCCAGGAGTCACACCCTGTGCCTGACAGCATTGTCCAAAAGCTTCTTGAGCTCTGTCAGGCTGGTGCTGCAACCACTGCCCTGGGGAGCCTCTTCAAGTGCTCAGCCACCCTCTGGGGAAGACCCTTTTTCCAATATCCAACCTAAACCTCCCCTGACACTCTCATGCCATTCCTGTGGGAGTGTTTGAGTACTGTCTAAGCAGCAGTAGCCTTTGAACTCCATGCTGCAGCCCTGTTCTGCTGACGCAGGGAGAGGCAGGAGCAGCCTCTGTCACGGCACTCCAGAGCAGAGCAGCCTGTAACCTCTCTGGGGGAGAACAGAAAGGGTGGGAGGGTGCAGAACAGAGAACATCTGGGAGGGTGGCACGCATCAGCCAGCCCAGAGACTGTGCAACCTCAGCACACCTTGCCTAAGAATACAGAGCACTTTGGCCAGACACTAACCAGAAAGGATGCTGTTTCCCAGAATACTCCTCCCAGAATACACACTCCTCCCCCAAAAACAACTTCTGCCTTGGACAGTGAAAGGCATGAGGGCATTGGTCTTTGCAGAACATAACTAAAGCAGTACCACAGTGCCTCAAAGCATATTCTGAGTTTTTTGGTGTTGAAGTAAAACATTCAACTGATACTGAAATGAACACAACTCTGCGATTTCCCACTGCCTTAGAAAGCCACAACAAAAGTCACATCGTTTTACCTCATCGTGAATATACGCAAGCAAATGAAATGCTTTTCAAAAGTAGATTCACTTCCAATTACTAGATACATGACAAAAATACACCAAATATATTTTCCTCAGCTTTAGCATCAAAGGATAAAAAGAGGAACAATTAAGGCACTCACCATGACACATGAGCAAGCAGAGATGGTTCCCACACTCCAATCAAGATTAAACAAAATATATTGCAACTGATCACCACTGGATTTTTTCTCCTTTTAATCTCAGGCTTATCAGTAGCCTCTGGCTTTTTAAATTACAATAGCCTTATATTTCCTTATAAGACATCCTGGCTAAGCTGTAAAACATAGGTGAAATTCAATATTTGAGTATCAATATAAGTAAAGAATATACCCAGACAGATTATTCTGAAGTAAAACTGAGTCAAAACAAGAGCTGTTTGCTTACAAAACTAGTTTTTGATAACTTAATACATGGTAAAAAACCTAAGCCAGATTGTTAGCTCAGTTACTGTAAAGAAACATTTAACCAGTACTCTCATGTAAAGGCTTATCTACATATTGGTAAATCAAGGGCTGGCCATCCCTGCTATGAGGGCAGTATGAGGTGTTTGTTCTGCATGCAGAGATAACCTTTTCAAACATCTACAAGATCCTTTGGAATTTAATCAGTGCCTATTCGGTGAAAACTCACAGCCTGGACTAGAGTCTCTGTAACATGAGCCAACCACTTTCAAAGAAAACTGCAGTCAACTATGATACAGACAAAGACATCTGGGTGTTTTTTCACTCTTGTCTTAGGATCTGGTGACACAATCTCCCCTTTCTGTGTACTCACTACTTTCTTTATCCCAGAGTACAAGCAATGCTGGAAATGTCTCAGAAAAACAAACAAAACTGTGCTGTCTCCCTAGGTTTGCCATGTTGCAAGGAGGAACGTGCAAGCCACCTCCATCACATTTCTCAAACACTGATCATTTCTGACGCAGAGCTTGAGAAGGAAAAGATGTTTTAACGCCCTGCAAGCAACCAGTGCTTTCAAAGTCCATCTAAGCAACAAGAGTACAATGCCTGCTCCCAGGTAACATGCTGTCCTTGGCTTGTCACTTCTTTATTTAAGGAGAAAGCCTGGAGCTTTGTATCACACATGTACAGTATGCTGTGTTCAGGACTGAGATTGGGTACTGGCTGAAAAGACACTTCAGATCACATCCAAATATACTTCAAGATCCTCTGGACCTTCTTCCTTCCTGCCTCCATACACCAAATAAAGTGTTTCACTACCTGCTTTCCTCAAGGTCATGCAAAGGCTCAGCCGTTGTCCCAGCAGCTTTGGATTCAGTTTTACAATGATGCTCAGTTGATACAAAGAGGTTGAATACTTCCTATTGCCATTAAGACTTCTTGTCTGGCCTGCGGTCCCTTTTGTCTCTGCAGTCCATTTTCCAAGCTAGGTCAGAGCCTGCACTGCCACACTTCAGTTCTGTGGGAGGTGAACCCACAGACCCTTCCTCACAGCCAGGTGCCTTACCCTCAACACCTTTTTTGTTTGTCTCTTATGTATGGAAAATACATAAGGCTACTTAAATGAGAAAGCTGTACTCCAATAGTTTTGTTATATTCCTTTCCCTTTTAGGGATTTCACCACAAACCTTCTGCACAGAAGGGAAGATACTGCTAGGGGAATGCAGCATGCAATGATGCCCTTACACATTTCTCCTGGGACAGTGGGGCAAACACCACAAAAGTTTTAATAGTTAAGCGCCAAGAGTTTGCATATTTCCATTTCCAAAGACATCCTCTGTAACCAAGCCAAATCTATTGTTGGCAAAGTGCAAAGTGGCTGCAATGTTTGCTCGACACCCAACACTGCCCAAAAATAATGGGTCAGGAAGATTGACTATCACATAAGAGATCCCATAACTTACTTCCCATTTTTAGACAAAAAACTAATGGCCATAAAAAAATCCCAGCCCAAACCGAACTCCACTTCTGCACTCGAACTGAAAGCTCAATTAAAAAGTCATATGGTCAAAGTCATGCAGGCATAAGAGGAAACACAGAGAGGTTTGGCTGTAATGCTGAGCATGAAACACATACATGGACCCAGCTGGCTCTTAGCAGCTGCCCTGTACAGGAATCACTCACAACAAGACAAAATCTTCCAGCTAACCAGCAGCTCTGCAGCCAAGAGCATCATGCAATCTCAGGTCAAAGGGCAACATGCCAGAAGGGACATGAGGTTGCTCCTTAGGAAAGGTTTAATGTATTGCAACCATGAGAACCTCAGACACAGCAGATTCAAACAGAGGCTGGGCATAAAAATGAGACTCACATTACCTTATTACATCTCCTCAGACGTGGATGCCCTCTTGGATACAGTTGAGCAGAACCCAGACTGCCATTTAGGAGGTGGGAAGCACCGGGCCCTTGTTGTCAGGCTTGGTCTGGGACTCCCAGGATATTTACATCAATAGCTATACAGCTATACAGTGTGGTATCACTCAGCCTATTTACCCCTCATTTCTCTGTACTCCTAGGAGAGGATCCAATTTAGATTGGACTGGGGTAGAGAAAAAAGGATGTGTCACTGGGGACATAAAGCTAGCATACTGTTCCCAATTTCAGCGCTCTGCAGCAGGGAAATTGGTGAAGGAGATGGAAAGGAAGCATGCTTCAGTGAACAAATCTGAAGATTTCAAAAGTTACCAGATGGGAATGCATGGAGGAGTTCATTTATATATAAACCAACTTTGCAAGGTTGAAAGTATTTTTGGAGAAATAAGTACTGGCCTAAAAATACCTTATCTTTGGCTGCTAACAATAAACTCTAAGAAAAAGGAGCAGAGAACCTCTTCTTACATCTTCACAAGAACGTTGAACCAAACCTATAAAGCTGGGTGTCATAATTTCAGTGGAGTCTGTCCCACTTTTGGCCTCCACTTATTCCAAAGAAGTGCACTGCTAGATAATTCTAGACATGTCAGGACATGTTTGAATCAGGAAAACTGTAAACATAAAAGAGAGCTGGCATAAATCCTGAGCAGCAGCTATCACTTTCAGCACTGCTGAACCTGTAGTGTAGCATAAGTGATTTCTAGATTTCTTTATTCAGAATTTTATGCTTTGTTTACACCATCACTAAATAAATCCTACTGGTCACCATTAGCACTAAGTACTTCCTGAAAAATCTGCCCAAGATCCCAACAGCTGTTCATTAGACTGTTTAAAACAGGCCTTCTTAGCAGCCCTTACATTTAGGATCACTTTCTACTTCCTACAGCAAGATCATGCTTTCTGTTTGTAAAGCTCCGAATTCCTACTGTTTGTGCAGGATACTAACTTCATCCTGAAGTTCAGAAAATTCCAGCTGAAGTTTCACAAGGTTGGGAGGAAAAGGTTTTTTGTCTACATGAAGTTGCATGTGCCAGCACAATACCCCAGCACAGATATTTTGGCCACACTACTACCACTACTAATAAAAAGCTCTCCCTTTTTTTTAACAGAGATAAGTATGGGGTGAGGGGAACAATGAAAACTGGGAATTGGTTCAGGTAAAGCTTCCCATTCCATCTTCCATGTAGGGTAAGGATGATCAATTTGACTTAATTCAAAAGTAAGAGTACCATTCCACAGACTGTGTTATCCCAGGGGTGGAAAAGACTCTACTAATAGATCCAAACAGCACACAAGGAAAACTTCCTCATTTCAGTAAAAGAGATTTCACCAGGGAAAAGCAAATGGTAGGCACTGTCAGTTGGAATCAGTGGTGAAAGAGAGGTGAAGAGATGGAGAATAAAGGGAAAATGAAAGCCTAAAATAAACCACTAGAAGTGAAATAGAAAAAGATGAAAGGATGCAGAGTCTAGACTAAAGAGGAGTGCCAAAATGAAGACAACACACAACACGTGATGAATTGAAGAGCATCACCTCCAAAACCTTTATTGTGTCATTATTCCCAGTAAGTACACCAAAAGTGAAATAGACAGCCCAGAAAACACATAGTACTGAAAAATAAATACATGTTTAAGGGTATTTTTAGGCATGAATGAAATAACATACAAAGCCATATAGAACCACATGTTAAATGGAAAACTTTCTCCAGATTATGCAGAATAAAAGGCAGCTACTTTCAGATAAGAAGTACTGGAGTCCCCTACATTGAGATGTGAGGGTACTCGGAACTAAGACAGCACAAAAGTCTCTGCTTGTAGAACATGCAATTGATAACCTGACACGACTCAGATAATTAAAAATCGACTATTGCAGAGCTATTTTTTGTGCTGGTGCCAGCTACTCCCTGCATTAAATGAGAGAGCCTGTGGGGAAAGGGAAAAAAAGTCCAATAGTGCAGTGGATAACGCACATAACATGAATATGAAAACAGCACTGGGAACTTTATTACAGAACTATTTTGATTACAGAACTGGTAATATCACAGTGCCTGAAAGCAAAACCCCTTACACAGGTATTTCTTTGCATGAATTAAGTACAAAAATCTCCAGGTTTTTTTTACTGTAAAGAGTAACATATTATCTTTTTAAAATAAAATTTTAAACAGACATCCATTTATTTGGTAGTTCCATTACCCACTATTCATTACCATTTGGAAAAACACTGCCACAAAAGAACACAGAAATGCTGTCAAAATATCTTGATGTGTTCATGCATTTATTTTCTATGCAACCCAGAGTTCAGCTACACTTGGCTTAGACTAGCATATTGAAATAGTACATTTTTCTGGTGGGGAAAAATAAAATCAATATTTATATACTTTGGATTCTGTCACATAAATGCTAAATTTACCATTTTCTGCAGACATGTACCTTATTGCCACCTTACTCTGGTGAGCAGTTTGATGTCTTCTCCCTCCCATTCCACCATTTGACAAAGTCAAACTGGCATTTATCGATTTAGTTATTAACATGCTTGGCATTTCCTACTAGAGTTTGTTTACTTGAGCACTTTCTGGTAGAAAAGGAGGAAAAAAAACCCAAACAATGAAACCCCTCCCAACATTTATTTACCCCTTCCCCATGATCAAGACATTTAAAGAGAAAGCACCCATATCTGCAAATTTACTTTTGACAGAAAAAGTTTTTGACCCATTACGCTGACAGTTTCTTTCCCAACTGAGTTTGCAAAACTCCAACAAAACCCCTTAATTCATCATCTCTGATAACATTTTGTTTTGTTGCTGACCTTTCTAAGCAATAACTGCATTATGCAAAAAGGCAACCAAACTGCATGTACTGTGTACAAAGCTGGCAGACAGCCCTATAATTTAGCTCACTTAACAGAATACGTAAGGCACAGGAAACAGAGCCCTACAGACTGAGGTTCACTATTTCTGCACTTTGCTTGCCATCACTTAGTTTGTGAATTGCTGCAATCACGCTGGCGTGTATGTCCAGTTTTTCCTTCTGCAGATTTATGAGTGCTTCTTTTTCTGCCAAGCACCCTTCTAACTGGGATTTTTGAACTTCCAGAGAAGATGCCTGCAGATACAAACAAAATGCTATAGTTTCCTCTATTACCAACTGAAAAACACATAATACAGTGAAAGCTGAGTGGCCTGGTGGTGAACTTGAGCAAGCATTTAAAAAGCAGTTTTAAAATGACAAGCTTGTTTCAGAAATCTCCCTCAGCTGTACAGTTGGTGCACATGAGTGATTACAGCTACTGCCACACTGCAAAATGTTGGATACCACGGGAAAGCACCAGCCCCTTGTGCTACCATCTACATTTCATTTCAAGCACCACAACAGTTAATATTTACTGAGAGCAAAAGAAGTATTTGCTATATACTGGATAACATTGCCTGAAGAGATTAAGCTTTTGCTTCCAGGAAATGGAAATACAGTAAATGTTGGTGTCAGATTACATACTTTGCATTTGCTGATCAGTTTGCATGTAAAATGAATCTCTGCTTTGTGATTTTAGAGGGAGTCTTACATGCAGTCAAGGACATGTAGGCTTGGGGGATTAGTTTTGTGGGGGTTTTTTGTTGTTTTTTTTTTTTTTTCCTGTTAACTTTATCGTGTTGACTTGGTACAGCCAAAGTGATCTCTCTTTTGAAAAAGGACACCTTTTCTTGGAGGTAAAAATTTTTTTGGTTAGAATTTCAATGATAAAAAGGACCCCAGGCTCATTTTGATGCATACATATGTACCTTAATTCAATGTGAGAAAGGGAGGGAAAGCAAGCTGACTAACATTTTCAGCAGTCAAAACTACTGGAAAGGAATTTGTTACATTTTGTTATTTAACATTATGCCACTGGTTTGGTGAGTTTTTTCCCATCCCAACATTATGTACTCACACACCATGCCACACAGAGTCTCATTAGAACTTGATCCTAACTTAAAACTCAAGAGGTACACAATTAAAGTTGAGACAATTTGTTCTTGTCCACTACTACATCAGCTACTTGGTCTTTAGGTATTTAACCACCAAAGTACTGATATACCAACTCTATCAATTAAACAGATACCTAAAACTCCAATCTCAGAAATGCTGGCACAAGTAATTCCTTACCTTGATACTCAGTTCTTCTCTTGCTTGTTGTGTTTCACTTAATTCCTTTCTAAGAATATCGATAGTTTGTTCCATATCTGTTTTTTCTTTCTGTTGAGTTTTTATTTTTTCTTCCAGAACATTTATGTTCTGTTGCAAGGCTTAAGAAAATGAACACATTATAAGATCAGATACCAAACTTAGAAAACAGATACTGCATTGGCCTGGGAGACAAGGGGCTTTTTTTATTCTTTTTTTTTTTTTTTTAGACTCAACATGGCTGCTAACTGAATTACTGAGTAGTGCCACCTACTGCTAAATTTTAGTGGTTGCTTTCAGTCATTTGCAGAGAGTTAAATTAAGCTCTTCTAATTTGCATTTCATACAGAAAATAGTTCTAATGGACATGTTGCAAGAAGATCCCAAAGGGACACAATATGCAGAGATTCAGTCAAGTCTGGGAAATCAACTTCATGCATCCTTTCTAAAATATCAAAATGTGTGTTTGTTTCATTCAACTATTAAATTATATATCTCTGCCCAACTTTTAAGGCTTACAAGTTGCTTATTAAGATATAGCAGCTTATCTAGAGCCTATAGTAACAACATCTAGTTAGTACAGTTAGTTCTCTAGCTTCAGTGACCTTTAGGTAGGTGACTTACTTGCTATTGTGCCATCTCTCTCCTGCAGCTGTTGCTGCAATTCATTTCTGTGATGTTCACTTTCTACTAACTGTGCAGCATTCCTAAAAGTGCAGAGAAATAAATTTTAATTATTAAAATGAGATATGCTACCATTTCCCTGTTGTAAGAAACGAAAATGAATTTTTTATTATTTCCTATTGCTGTCAAGAGCTTCAAATCATCAAACCTATGAATGTGCATGGTGTGAGTAGAAATAGATCTTATTTCCTTCCTGCCACCATGACCCAATCGCTGCCCTTCTCTGATCATGGTAGGATCTACTGAAAAGGCTGATACCTGGAGTACAAAGGCCAGAAACTGGTGCCTTTGACCACAGCCACAAATAATTCAAAATACTGTGGCAGAACTAAAATTGGCATTTAACGCAAGTAAAAATTCCCTGCCATTAGTGATTAAGGATGCTGGGGTTTTAGCTCTTACTGTGCTCCTGAAGAGACAATGCAATTAGTAAAACCTGTTTCAGGTATTACCCCTGTATCTATACACAAAAAATACCATTCTGAACATCTCCTGGATTGTCACACAACACTCAAAAGTGACCATACCATAAGACAGTGACAAAGCGTTTGTACAGGCCTGCTTCAGTCCTCACTAGTTTGGGTAATCCCCAGTTTCCACACTCATTTAATACAGAGGCACTGGCATCTACCAGCAGTACAGCTCTAACATGAGCACTTGACACTCTTTGAAGCTAATCTACTCTTTCCATTACCAGCCAGACTAATTTCTAAGGCATATTCTACTTGCCACTTGCCTTGCCTAGATGGCATCTGCTGTCACTTTTGTTTACTTGATTATCCATTTCCTATCTACCAGTTTCTAAGCTGCAGCCTCTAGCAAGAAGGAGGGACGTATATTTTCAGTGTCTCCATTTCTGTAGCAGTTCAAGAGTATCTATATAATAAACTGCTCCTCCAGACTGGAATTAACAAGGGTCAGCTTTCATCAGAATATCTCCCCAATTACCCTGAGCTGCATATTGCACCATTCTACGTAAATAGCCAAATTTGTTCAGTAGCAAACTAATGTATCAGTATGAATATTGAAATATATAATGAAAATTTTCCCTCTGAATCAGAACTCAAGGCAGTGATTTGGACTGCTCTGATTACTGACAAGGCAAGAGCCTGGAAGGGTGAAGTGAACTTTCCAAGTAAAACCAAGAACACCATTTTATTTCTCAATTGAATACAGTGCCTGCCTATGAACATATATTAAAGACATCTTCTGAAAATTATGTATTCAATAAAATCTGTCAAAGAAGAGCCTATATTCCCTTAATTACACTGGTGAAAGGTACAACAGACCTCTATTTTAAGCCATCAAAAATGAAAAATTACAATTACTCTTGAAGAAGACATGGGTAATGCTAGCTTTATAGTTGAAAAAGATGTTTTATACCACAGGCAGAATACTACCCATCATGACTTCTAATATAACTTTCAAATGTGTTCATTTAGTAGGGTTGGTTGTTATGTTTTTTTGGTTTTTTTTTCCAACTTGACAACATTAAGAGAAAACATGCAGGCTAAAAGAAAATACAAGGAAATTTTTGCATGACAAAAGCATTTGAGAATTCAATGACAACTAAAATGACACCTCCACACTCTCCCAAGTGCACCTAAGAACTTCATCTTTCTCTTCCTACTATTGCTGAAGTCTGTTGATAGTCCCTCACCAATTGCTCCAACCAATTAAGGAGCAAATAAACTAAACCAAAGTCAGTAGTACAGATTCTCATAAAAAATAAATATATAAACCAACCCTGAAGCATTTTTGGCTAACTTCACTTCTCAGATATTAGTTAAATCACAGTTGAAAAACTGAGATTAAAGTGCTATTAAGTTTTACTGTTTCACTTGCTTTAAAAAGACTGAACAGATCTGTCACTCTGCTGCTTGAGTGATTAATTTAGTTTCATCACTGCTTCCACTTGTTTATTTAGTGAATTGTATGTAATCTGTAGATCTTTATATTGTCTTTCAGTTGTTTCATACCTACAAATGAAATGTAGGTATGAAATGTTGCTTTTGAAGAGAGCTTTTACTTTAATACTTTGCCAAATAAAAATATTTGATATGATCTGTGCAATCATCCCACTCAAGTGACAAGCAAGGTGTTTTTTTGGAAGGGGGTGTGTTCAGCTGAGTGCTTTTCAGTGACAGCTGGCTGCTAGTGTGTTAGATGTTTTAGGTTTGTTCTTTTTAAATCAACATACTTAGAATCATACAATCATTTAGTTTGGAAAAGACCCTTTAGATCATTGAGTCAAACCATTAATCCAGCACTGCCAAGTCCACCACTAAACTATGTCCCTAAATGCCCCATCTACACATCTCTTAGATACCCCAGGGATGGTGACTCGGCCACTAACCTTGGGCAGCCTGTTCCAATGCTTGACTCAGAAGAAGAAAACAGACAAACAAACAAACCAGCCAAGCTTCAGAGGATCCCTTACATATCCTGAAGTATTAATGATCAGGAAGCAACTTCCTTCCAGCAGAAAACTTTTAGGAATTCACAAAACTACAAATACCTTGAGAAATTTGCAAAGAGCTAATCTATAACAGTTTGTGTATGTCAGCCATCTTTTAAGGGACCTTTTAATTTAGTCTGTGATCTTGTCTTGTGATACTAGAAACTGAATATACTGAAGACAATGCAGTGTGTAATTAATACAGGCTTATGAGGCAGATTTCATGCTCTAAGCAAACATTATCCTACCTTCCTACCAAAAGGCAAATTCTATCCCCTGGTGTCAATTAATTGATTGTTTTCAAGAAACAGCATATTTGAAGTATGAAGGCCGTTTTAAAAATTAAGTTTTTGCTTTAGAAACACATTGTGAGGATTAGAAACTTTTGTTCCTAGCTTGGAGAATTTAAAACTGTTAGATACTAGATAGAGGCTGATTTATTTCCCGTGAATTAGACAATACATGTTCACAAAGTGTATGACTGCCTACAATTCAAGCAAAAATGGAGGCACTTCCACAGTGACCGTACTAGACACTTATTCAAGAAATCTAGTAATGGAAAAAAGTTTTATACATTTTCCTCCCTCAATGACTCCTTTATTGGCAGCAACACGCTTTCAAAATTGTCTAATAATGCTTGCTCCCGTTATTAAGCAAGAAACTTGATCTCAATGTTACCAGTTTCTTTGCCTTGCTGACACCTAGTGTCAGCTCGTGAGCTGAGAAGTCAAAGCCCTCTTAAGCCTTTATTCTTCCAAAGCACATTCTAATTTCAAATATTTTCTATCTTTATGTGATATGACACACTTTGCGTGTCTCACATATTCTTTTTAGCTCAAGATCCCAATGAAACAATGCTTATAAATAATTCATGACACACAATGTGTCTCCTTCCTTCATACCTCACTTTTGCCTAATTTTAGTCAAATTTGGTAGAGACTTGACCAACAAAGCCAAGTCCTACAGTATGCAAACACACTGATATTGGCTGTTTCTCCAGAGCTCTTGCAAGCACGTCATCAAGACAGCGTGTAAGATCAAAGAGAGACACTGAGAGCATGGTATAATGCTAACAGAAACTAAGCATTGGTAGTTCTGTGTCTTAGAGAACAATGCTCTTTTTATACAAAGCTTCTGCTATTTAATGAACTGGACCTTCAGCACCTACAATTCAGTTCTCATTCCACTGAAAGCTGGATGTTAATACCTTAATAAATTTAAGTATGTTAAATGCAACATAAATTTGAGTTCCTGAAAGAACTTACTGACAAGCATACAGAAGAAAAAAGAATGAACTTTTCATTTAAAAACATGACACAGCGTGTAATGTTGCTCTTCTAATGTGCCTAGCACAGTAAAGGACATCAGAACTCTTTTCATATGAAATACTTGTTTAGAGATCCTACATGTCTTACCTCTGAAGGAGATCAAGAGTGGATTTTTTTAGTATTTCATGTTCTTCAGCAACCGCCTGCAATTTCCTGTTGTGCTGAAAGAGCTGTTCAATATCAGTCTGTGCTCTTTCAGATTCTACCTGTTGAGCCTTCAGCAAATCGTTAAGCTCTTCATTTTTTCGTTCTGCATCCTTCAGCATTGCAGCAAGAGTTCTTGCCTTTGAGTGGAAAGACACCCCCAAATAAAAAGAAAAAAAAAGCCATGTACGTTAAAGGGAATTCTGTTTCTCAAGTTGTATTAGGCACGTTTGAGGCCATAGATCTAATAATGACACCAAAATGTCATTATCTACATTAAGAGAATAAATTCTCTCACCTAATATTAACTACAAATTAATTCGTTCACTAAATTCCTTTAGCTCCATTTATCGACAATGTGAGGGAAGAGGGAAGAACAAAGTAGAAGATGATACATTTTAGCTGTGGATTTAGTAACCAACACAATCTTTAATATAACCTTTAAAGAATAGAAATTATTCTCACCTTTCAACATGCAGCCCAAATACTGACCCCACAAAAGCAAGCTTTATTTGAAAGTTTGACCAGTGAATCAAAAGGCACAAACAGGAAACAGTCCTTTATCTACCAGCAAATTTGATAGAGAACTCTAGTAAGTGGGTTTATTACTTTTTAATATTGCTGAATTATCACTAATGCTTAACAAATTATAATGAGCAGAGTAGGTTGGTTTTGTTGACTTCCTGTAGGGGAAAGGGCATTAAAGAAAGCTGTGCCAAAGAACAGTCTAGAGGAAAACAGGATGTTCATGGTGAAAATTAGGACTGCCCTAACATGCAAGCACAGCCTACAGATAAGCAGTATAGTTTTCACACGTGATCACAGTTAAAGCCACCCAGATAATCATTACTCAGCTCCACCTTGAAGCTCCTCTACTTACCTCAGACTCAGCCTGGGCTCTCTGACACCGGTACTGAGCCATCAGCCTCTCAGCCTGAGCCAGAGCTACTTCCTTTACTTCCAGTAGATCCTGCAGCCTCGTTTCTTTAGACTGCATATAGGGAGAACATTTCTCATTAACATTTTCTGAAAGTACCAAATAGGGAAACATTTCTCATTAATATTTTCTGAAAGTACCAACTGCAGCATCGCATGCGCATGAGGCTGTACTCACCGCTAACGCGAACAGCTTCTGCTCGTAGACATCCATTACATCAGATATCCTCACATCCACCAAGGGCTCCTTCATCTGTGGAAACGTTTTCCAATCACCGATACTGGAAATTTCAATTTACTTACACAGGTAACGTGTCACTAAAGAGCTCAGTAGATTTGTGAACTCCCCCTGCCACTAGACTTTTTGAATTCTCATTTTTGTATCTGAGGCTATCTACTCAAAGATATCCACCTCACCCTTGAGAAAAGTCTGTGAGCAATTGAACTGGTTAGACTTAATAGGATTCATCTGCAGAAGACTATCAGTCCAGCACTATAAAAAGGTAAAATCACCATTCTAAAATTATTCCCTTTGGTCCAATCTTTGCTGGAGAATTAGCAGGCCGCTCATGGGACATCTAAAATAATCTGCCCTAAGATTAATAGCACAAAATGCCTATATTTAAAACTCCTTGTTCATACTCTTTTGCTTTCTCAACATACATATTAGGAGAAGAGGCTCAGGAAAGTTTTTCTAAAATACTGGAAAGGATACTATTGAGGACCTACAGAACCTACTGTGTTAACCCAGTGACTTACTAGAGGAAATGCACCATGTATGGCACAACAAGACCTAAGTGTTTATTAAAGTATGTGCCGGAGTCAAATGAAAATGCTACTTAGTGATTTCAGGGTATTTTCTCTTAGGCAGTGCTATTACAACACCAGTTTTGAGCAGATGTTCACAGATGTTGATGCACAACCAAGTGCAAACTATGCCAGCTGTTCATACATTGAACATCTACAGAAAAGCCTGTACCATCCTGAACCACTATGTAAGAATGTTTTTTGCAAATTAACAGGAGACCCCGTGTAGCTCCAGTTCTCAGCTCATTTTTCTGTCCCTAAAGTACGACACAAGTAGTTTATTTTCCTACTTGCAAACTTAAAATATCTAAAAGACATAGAAATGACTCCAAGAACAGCTCTAAGAATGAAATTCCCTTCATTCTCTCTGAACAGTGATACTATGAAAAGTGTTTTCTCAATTCTGTTTTTACAAGCATTTGAGCTTCACACAATACACAGACAGAGCTCAAGTACTGGATATTTTAAGTGAATGTGTACATTGTTTTTGAACTACTAATTAGAAGGTCTAAGAAAAGAATCACTCAACAATTCATCAACAATTTTCTCTCCTAAAGAAGAAAACTGAAGCATGTTTTCAATCTGTCACATTACTGTGAAGCTGCTGCATTAGTGCTGTGTAGGCACCTGTGCTTGCTTTGATTTACATTAATATAAACACAGCAATGCACCCACAGACTGTCATGCAGTCCTGAGAAGAACAATCAATGAGAGCATCCAGTGGCAGAGTAAAAAGTAAGCTAAGGAAGACTCACTTGACCATTTTCACTGTTATTCTGGCATCTCTCTGAGATGGTAGCTCTCTGCTAGCTAACTGGTATCTCTCTGAGTTTCACTTATATCAGTTACAACAAAGAGATAAGAGTTGCAAAGCTAAGGCTGGAGGCAATACCACTCATACAGATATCAAGCTGTTACCAAGACACTTTCTATTCCTTTTCCCAGTTTGCATACAGTTCTTTTAAGCCAAAAGACAATAGAATCAACAATCCATCTCTCAGTCTAAAGCAGCTACAAAGCAGCCAACTTGCTTTGAACAGAAAAGAGAAAGAGGAGATATATTCAGTATCTGCCAGGATGGCCCACAAAGCAGCACATGGTATGTGGTTCCTGGTTGGGTGTTTCATTCACAATGCAAGTTAGTTTTTTACTTCCCTCTGCACTGTCTTCTGAAATAATAGCAGCACCTTTCCAAGGTCACAAAAGCTGAACTGCAAATGCTAGAGTCAGCTACAGCAAACAAAAGGAGAATGTCAGTATGCATGTTTAGGCACACAAGAGATGCACTGTTCTTCTAAAGTAGCACAGTGTCTTTACTCTATTACAGGCTATTTCTTAGGAAGCAGAGGGAGGAGGTTCCTTGTATGTGTCCCTGCAAGTCTAAGCAGTTGGACTGTACGTGGCTCCTGCCTCTGCATCTGACAGCTAAGATGACTGTGAGCAAACCCACTGGAGAGGGCCCTCAGTAAGGAGCCCTACCTTCAGGTGTAGCTCAACATATCATCTCTGAATTCTGCTCAGGAGCTCACTAAAAAGAGCACATTCCAAACAGACAGGAATCTAAACCAAACTTAACTGTTCCACACATGGTAGTCTGACACTTGGATTTTAATTTCTATCCCTCCCAGTAAAAAAAGTGTCAAATGTTTCACAATGGTATATAAATTCTACTAACCTCTAGTCCAGAATGAAGTTTTTGTATTAATTCCTCAATATTTGAAGCTTTGGAGTCATTATTTGAAGGATAGGATGAAGAACACCTCACTGAAGTAGTGCTGGTCACAGGTGCCTGCATTTGGATTCTCTTTGCTCTGTGCTGCACTTCTTGTTGTCTGTAGGCATTATTTGCTACAATGCTTTCACCCAGCCTGTATAAACATGAGGCTATTAATGACACAACCTGCTACCAATAGCATTGCAAGGATTGAAGATGAGATTTCATAACAAAATGTACGGTCACATTTGCATTATCACACCTTACGAAGATGTGTGTTGGGCATGTGCTCAAACTGCCCAGACATACAGAAAAAGGGGGGAAAAATGTACCATGGCTAACCTTTAGAGACAAATACAGAATCTTATCAGAAAGGAAATAGTGCTCAGCTCTTTTTGGGCAACAGATCATATCTCTTATGAACCTGAGAAACAGGTTCACCTGTTATTATTCAAATTAACTAGGCCACTGTATCAAAGAAGATGGAGAAAGCATTAGTAAGAATTTTTACTGGCCATAAAGATAAGGTTAAATCAAGAAAAGGCAGAGTGCAACCAATAACCTCAGTTTTTCCTTGTCTGCAGTTCTATTTTACAATACTGTATTGTGTACAACACATTTGATTTTATAAGTTTTAACCACAATTTAAGTATGCAAATAAAAATGCAATCTGTTTAAATTTGTATAGGGAAGAGAACTCAAAAGCTTAGAAAAAAGTAATTTCAGCACCTATATTCAAGTGTCTGTATATAATTTGTGGCTAGTATTTTCAAGGCAGGTACCAATAACATGTTTCAAACAAGAATGATAAATCAAGACCCAATTTTAGAGGCACCAGTTATAAATTTTTTGCTCTTGATAAATTCCTTAATTACTAAGCTATCCCAACCACTTCACTGAAGTGCTGTCTCAATTGCTTCCTAAGTGAGCATAGCTTATTTTTAACTTGCATTTACAGACATGTTATTTGGCTGCTCCATTGTACAATTCCAGACATATTTGATTTTATAGATCCTTCATTCTTTCAGCCAGACTATTCATTACTGGCTACTATAAAAATATTTCTTATATCCACAAACCCATAAAATTATGGAATAATTAAGACTGAAAGGGACCCATCTACACACCACCTAGTTCAACTCTCCTGCTCTTAGCAGGTTGCCCAGGACTATGCCTTGTAATTTTGACTCTCTCAAAGGATGAAGACTCCACAACTTCTTTGGTCAACATTTTTCAGTTTGACCTCATCTTACAGTAAATGGGTTTCTTTTCTGATATTTAAAGAAATCTAAAAGGTTTTTTCTTATATTTCAGTTTGTGCCTACATCTATCCTGTCAGTGGATACCACGGAGAAGCCTGGCTCTGTCTCTTTTGTTCCTGTCTTTCAGACATTTCAACATACTGATAAGAACCCTGCAAGTCTTCCCAAAAGTAAGCAAGCCCAGCTCTTGCAGTCTTACCTTGTGTAATACATGCTAATCCCTCAAACTCTTCACTAGACTCACTCTAGGATGTCCGTATCTCTCTTGCACTGGAGAGCCCAGGCCTGGACACAACGCTACAGGTGTGGTCTCACCACAGCTGAGCAGAGGGGAATGACCACCTCCTTCGCCCTGCCATCAGGACTTTTCCAAGTGCAGTTCAGGGTGCTACTGATCACCTTTGCCATTCTTGAAGACAGAAGTTACATTTGTTTTGTTCTAGTCTTCTAGTCAGGAACCTGTCCCAATAACCACTAATTTTCCAAGGCATTCTGGAGTGGCCTTGGAATGACAACAGGCAACTCCCTAAGCATTCAAGGGCACATCCTGTCAGCTCTTCTGGACTTCTGTACACCCAGTTAGTTTAGATGTTCAATAACCTGACCCTGTGCCACCCAGACTACATATTGCCTCCTCTAGGCTTTCTCATTGCTCTCAGGGACATCACTCTGCCTTTGGGAATCCTTATCAGTGAAGACCAAACAAGGTATTCAGTATGTCAACTTTTTCCTTGTCCTTTGGCAACAGGTCTCCTGCTCCACTCAGCAGAAAGGCATACATTTTCATGTCTGGCTTTTGCTGCTGATGTAATGGTCTTTCTTGCTGCTTTGATATCTCTAAGGTTCAACTCCAGGTTGTGATAGAATTTAAAATTTTATATTTTTTATATTTATATTTAAAAAATTTAATTTTTTTTTTTTGTATTTTATTACATCTACAGAAATAAGGACTCCATCAGAGTTCTCAATACTTTTTCCATTGTTTAAACCACCTTAAATACTATCTGAACTGCCATCTGCCTGTATCTTACCCTAATCTTTCTTGGAAGATACTGCAAAAGGGTGAGCAAAGCTTTAGGAACTCAAGAATGACACATCTGACGAAGTTCATTAGAGAGAAATCTGACAGTCAGATGCACCCAAAGTTCCAAGCACAGATTTCAGACAAATGAGCACGGGGACAGAAGTCAATTGCTCCTCTGTTCTCTAGGATCTGACAGAAAATGAATACCATCAGCATTGCGATGACTTCCTCTGGCCTCCAGGATCACTGCGGTCTCGTAAGTGCACATAAAGCAGAAACAAGACAATTTTTCTAAAGTTTCTGTGCCTGATGAGCTGAAAATAGTAATCCAAAAAACATGAATATCACTAACCCCATAAAAATGTCAAATCTAACCAGAGTATCACAAAAATACTTACACTACAACAGGAAAATCTGGTAAGGGTGCAACCTCAAACAATATTTTAAGGCCCACTTGGACCCGCTCTCCATGGTCTGATGTTAAAGCAAATGTCAAAGGTGTAATCAAGCGCTGATCCTAAAAATAAATTAGTTTGGTCAAAACAAGACACAGCAGACAACAACAACAAAAAGCCCCACAAAACACACACTACCAAAACATCACAAGGCCCATGAGCACAGAAATGCTTTATTCAAAACTTAAGTTACCTTCTTAAGAGTTTGCCCTTCTAAGTTTCTGAGCCTGAAGTCCACAGAAGACATGTAATTTAAAAAGTAGTCTATACTTCTGAGTATTTGAAATCACGATTTACATTAAATGCAACCCAAGAGGTAAAGAGGATAGTTAATTCCTGCAAGTTTTCAAATGCTTGATACTCAACATAAAAGGTCACTAGCAGAAGTTATAAAGATTAATTGTGGACTGTAAAACTCATTGTTACCCATTAAATTACACAATTCCCATTCTAGAATGAAAAAATCTCCAAAACAGCAAGAAGCGTTTGACTCTCTGGACTGCTTTTCCACCTATAAAGTAATTTATTAAGGCATCATCTGACCAGAAACTGTTTTGGCCATGCAAAGTTCCAAATTAGATGTACATATTTAATAGTAACCAGCCCCAAAAATGATTGTATTGTTGTGGTAATTGTTTTCTAGTTTGCTACCTTTAAACTGCAGTCATAATGCAATCTTAAAAGGATCACTCTTACCAGGCAGCTAAAATATGATTTCATATGCATTACCAAAGCAATGACTAGAGTAAAAGCAAACTACTGTTATTTTAGAAGAATAGAGAAACAACCTTTAGGAATTGTGCATAAGTGACTGCACTTTCCTAGAAGCTTTACCACTTCAGAGATAACCATGCAAAACATTTATAACTAAAACTACTGTAGTGCAGTGACACTTTATTTCACAGATACATTTCATAAAACATTTTAAAATCATACCTGTAACATTTTGTAGAAGCTGACCTTCATACCAGGTACATCCTGCTGCAATCTGCTCATAAGATCAAGTGTTTTCAAAATAATATCAGTAGCAAGTTTGCTTTTAAACATCCAAGTAGAAAAGCAAATTGAGTGAAAAGAAAAAAAGGTGAGATATGTCAAATCAGCACTGACAAATCCAGTCAATTTAAAAAAACCTAATAAATACCTTCACAGAGAAAATAAATATATCTAGCAAGGCAATGATGCTAGAACCAAAGAGATCATACTGAGTTGCCTGAATGTGTGCCTGAGCTTCTCCAGCATGTCAAGGATGGCAACAATGAAGATCAAAACCACCAATTGCGGTTGAAAGTGAGGAGGGTTTAATAATAGGTTCAATTATATTTCACCGGGTTTTGGCCAGAGAAACTGGCTATAAGTTATAGCTATAGCTAAGCTGTAAGCTATAGCTAACTTATAGCTATATTTTAGCTACAGCTAGCTTTTAGCTATAATGACAATGCGCTGGAAGAAATGTGCATTTAATTTTCAGTGCAACAACCGCCCCCATAGTGATGTGTGATATTTTGGAACCCTGACGGCATAAAATCAAAATGAGAAATCACATGCCATGAGTAGTTCTAGTAAGCTTTAACTTCGATCAGTCTCAACTACTGCATGAGATTTAAGGTCATTATTCCACATAAGTGGATCTCCAACTTATGCCAAAAACATTATCTGAATAAACTGACCAGCAAGACTACTTTTTATTCCAGAAAATACCAAGTTTAATTTAATACCAATATTGATTTAAATGGTACTTTCAACCACCATATTCTTTCCACTGCAACAATATCATAACTCTCACACCAGTCATGCCTAATTAGACTTAAGATAAATATGTGTGCTCACCACATTTTAGAGTCCACCAATTTTGTCCCAAAGCCAGCATCAATCCCACAATGAGGAAACTGGTGTTCTATCAGACACGTGCATTGGCTGGCAGTCAGCACCTTCGAGACATGCATTTTCAGTGTGTCATCTCTGCAGAGCAGTAGGCAGAGTTAAGAATAAATTCAAAATACCTATGCCTAGGTATTGACACCAAAAGGCAACACTTTGTAATAATAAGGCTAGGGCACAAAAGCTGCGGCATAAAAGCACAAGAGCCTCTAAAAATGCGTGTAATACCCAACAACACAAAGCGCTTAAATCATGCCTAACAAATCAAATAAGCTTCACTTTTCAGTTAATACATACACTTACTGGAAACAGACAGCAAAGGCAAACCTTAATAAAATGGGTGGCATAAAGAAGCATAGTCAACAAAAGGCAGGGACCAGGCAGTCCCTAATACAAGACCCAGCTACCTGGAAGTGAGCCAGCAGACTTCTCCACAGAACTCAGGATTACATCCTGCAGTCATGTCCCCCTTACTAAACTTATTGTGGGCACTAAGGACTCAATGAGGAGTATAAAATTGTGTCATTCCATGTTATTTTTCCTTCTTTCTCTAATCTAAATTTGTATCATATTTGGCTGGGAGCTGCACTTGTCTTAGCTAGGCAACAATACTACATGGATCAAGAAGATGGCTGCCCAAATTCCCCCCACAGTTTCAACAGAAAACACTCATCTTTGTTTTTGGTCTGTAAAGTGCTTCTCTTCTGTTGAATAGCCACAACATTTTATCCTGCACCGCTGTATTACAAAATAATTTCACAGCAATTAGAAAACTACTCTAGATCTTGCAAGATGACACTCCTAAATAAAATTAGGGCAGTTATTGTCATTAGAAGCTATTAAAGAGACCCAAGGTGAACATGCCTTTAATATCTTAGAGCAGATCATGGTGGAGGAATAATAAATCAGTTGCCAAGAAGCACATAAAAAGGATATTTGTGAGGACATTAATAGCCTTGACCATTCTTTCACACTTTTTCTTCACTAATAGCTCATCCACAATCTGTTCTGGCATCTGAAGATGATCAAGAAGAACAGGCAGCAAAAGATCCATAAAGTGTTCAGCTGATTTACCATTCTTGTTGTTAATAACATCCTGTAGTAAAGACATTTTATGTCAATATTGAAAAGTACAGCACAAGGAAGTCAAGCTTACTACACCCCTTCCTGCACCAGTCTGTGTTCCTGCTTTCCCAGCCTCTTGCTATTTCAGGTTTAAGATGGCTGACCAGTATCATACTGGAGGAGGAAGTTTACAGGGAACAGAAACAGCAGGAACTTCCTCATTTCTTTAAGTCCCAGAAAGGAACTCTGATAGTGTTCTACCTACCTCATGACTTCAAAAACTGCCTTGTCTTCCACTTACAACACAGACATATTTCTAAAATACTGCATGTCTTTAAAAGAATGGTTGTTTTATGAAGTATGTTTATTCCAACATAACTGTTTTATAATGAACTTTATTATAAGTATTTTGTATGTGCTATTTTTCAAGTCAAACTATAACAGTTGATTAAAAATAATTTAAAAATAAGAGCTATTAAGAAGCTCTTTAAAATCAGTTATCAGTCTTTTTTTACCTCAAAAATCTCTTTGAGTAGTTGCAATGCTAGCCCTGAACAGTCTTCAGAGCCTTCCAATGGTTGGTTTGACAAGTGCACCAATGCAACAGATGGTTCAAAACTCTTTGAGCAAGTCACAAGTCTGGTGTTTGCAGAGACTGGCAAGCCAGCTGGTTCCAGTATCGCCTGCCGCAGGGTGTGACGCAGTTCTAGCACAGAGCAGAAGGCAAGCAGCAGCTCTAAGATCTGTGTGAAGTGAAGAGTTCAAATGCTTTTAAATCAAGAACTTACACAGAAACTGCAACTCCCGTAACACAAGTCTAAAGAGATACGCAAGTTCTATGCAACTCCTTTTAGCACTTGAAAGTTTTCTGAGCAATAATTTTCTTTCTTTAAAGCCAAGTCAGCAGCAGAAACAGTTTGCTGGACTGGTGAAGGCTTGTGACAGTATTCAGTGTATTGCATTCTTTTCTTCTGACATGACTGCTGGCTAGCAATACAGTAGAAGTACAAACATGTATACACTCAGCATGAAGAAAGCTGTCAAAGAGAAAACATTCTGAGACAGGAATGGATGCACATCCATTCTCTGAGCATGCACATAACAAAAACCACCCTGGAAAGCTCCATGTCAACATGCCTCTCTAAACCACATAAACAACACCAAAACCACACAGAAATAGTAGCATCTATTATTAACTAGGATGTGTAACACATTCATAGAAAAAACTCCAGATCTGTTTCACAGATATATTTAGCCCCAACATTTTCACATTTCATATTTTAGCCTTCAGTGACAGATAGCCAGTGTTTCATTTACATGAAAGGTGGTAGCAACACAAAGCTGAATGTAACAGTTCACTGCTCAAACAGAAGTGGCATCTCTTTGTTCAACTAAGGTAAGAACACTTATTCTTACACATTTGAGATTAGCATCAGGGTTCCCTGATCACCAGCTGAAGTCTGAGTAGTATTAATTCAAGGTTTAGAGAGCAAAGTGGGATATAATGCATTCCTGGTAGATGCCAAAATTTCTTAATAGCCAAAGCACAAAAGGTGTTTATGTTGGCTTTTTGCCTTTACATCTGTTGCCTGAAAGCAGACACACAATCTGGCAAAACCCCAACACTACAAATTCAACCTGACAGGCTTTTGAATAACTAGAAAATATAAACTTGTTGAATTCTCTGGGTCATTTAAGAGTCCTGAAGACAGTGTACTTAATGACCAACCCTTGTACACAAGGAACCTATTTATAATAACAGAAGATAAATTAGATTAGGAATGTAGCCTCTTAGCCTTTAACTGAAAAAGTATAAGTACCTTAGATGATGAATCAGGATCCCTTCCATGAAGAAGATCTAATACTTGACCAAGACAAGAGGTGAAGTGCTTGTATCTACAGCATGCATAGAGAAGAAAAAAATTATAAAACTGAAATTTCAGCACATTTAGACAAAGCGATGAAAGTGCCCTATTCTCCTTCTTACCCCCAAACACTTCAAGTACAGTGATGATTTTGATAATTTAATTTTTATTTGAAATAGCAGAAGCATTGAAAATATTTAAAGTTATTTATCACTAAGAATTAAAGCAAATTCCTTAAAATAAGTTATGATTTTTCAGCTATGTTTACTGCTTGATTGAGATTGAAAATCAGCACCTAAATTCTGGTAGTGGAATTTGCAGAACTGCTAGTCAAGCTCTCCACAGAACCACTCTAACCCCCCCCCCCCCCCCCCCCCCAATAAAATTATGAATTCTTACAACTTCAACCATACTATTCCGCTTCAAGATTATATAACACTGTAAAAGGCAGGATAGCTACTCATCTTGTTGTCTGACTACCAACACTATCCAGACAAAACATTACAGAACAGGGTATTCAATATTCCCTCAGTGACAATGAAAAAATCAGGCTTTAAGTCACAATTTTGTGTCAAACTAGTAACCCAGCAACCCTTTAGGTTCAGATATAGCAATTATAATTATAATCAACTAGCAACATTCAAAAAGCATCTTGGGATTTTTTTTTTCCCTAGTGTTTGGTTTAGAATTCAAATAGCATACAGCAAAGAAACTGAACTAGAGATTAGGAAAAATACTTTTAGGAATTGGAGCCATACCTGGTAAGATAATCTGCAACTTTGGGGTTCTTCATAAGATCCATGAGTAAATCAACAGAATATTTTCTTGTTAGAGTATCTCCATTTACAACAATATTGAATATTAACTGAAATGTCTGATGGATATTTCGAGCATGAAAGAGCTGAAAGGAAGACGAAAGTTATGTATAGGCACATACTTTGCTGGGTGTCCTGCTTATTAAAACTAGCTGGAATTAGGATTTTATTAGGCCAGTGTGACAATCAGCTTTATCTACAACTTCAGAATAGAAATAACTTCAAAGACACACTTACTTTTTCTCCTACTTCTTCATTTAGGGTAAGGCTTGATAACACCGAAAGTGCAAACACAACCATAGTCAAACTGCTGTGGGCCAAGAAACTTATTAAGGTACGATAGAAACTCTTCACATTATTCTACAGCAAAAAGGAGAAACAAAGATATTACAAACCCACCAAATTTACAGGTTTGACATATTTATACGTAAGCCATACAAATGATGAATAATACAAAAAATATTTAGTATGGTAACAGTTCTCTAGGAAAGCTATTTCACTGTTCTGCTGCACAATACTGGCATTGATGTTAATGTTCTCTTTTCAACCTATATAAGGAAAAATGAGAAAAAACACCCCAAAATAACAGAGAACCAACCAAGGAAGAAATTCCATCATTATTTTAAAGAAAGATGAGAAAGTCATTTTGCTAAAGTCCATAAGAGAAAATGATCACTGAAAATTGACTCCTATCCCTTCTCTGATTAATTATCAGATCTCACAATAGTTTCTCCCTGTTTTTGTCCCTGCCTCTCTTCCAAGGTAAACAGAACAACATTTGCTTTTATGTAGATTAATTTCTCTTTCTGAATTAAAAAATAAAATGTTTGCACTGATTTATGAAGACACAGGAACCAAGCAGTTCAGGTATGTATATGTATTTGAGGGTTCAAGGACTCTGACATGAACATCAGTGCTCTTTTATTGATTTATCTTTTGAAAGGCAAATCTTTTTGCTTACCAAAATTCCACCTATAATCTTTATGTTTTAATGACATTTAGTTTTTTCTATGGAAGAATGATCAAATTTTAAATTCATTTTTCAGCTGCAGAGAACAGTTGCAAAAATCAAACACAAAACACAAGCCAGGGCACACAGCAATGAATCAAAGGAAAGAGGATACCCAACTTCCTGTTCTACTGGTTATTTTCTCCAGCATGGGAGAAACAACTGCCCTTCGGCAGAACAAGCAGGTCAGGGTTATCACTGCTGAAAGTGTTAAAGAAGTACTAAGGTAATCACCTAGTAGAGTTAATTAACTCTTACCCTTAAGCTGGAGAATCATGACACAAAAGCAAAGCTCTTACCGAAGATTTTATCTGACTTTGAATAGACAAGTTGTGACGACAGAGGTTTGCCAGGAGTCCTAAACACGGTATTGTTAACTCATCTTCAGTGGATTGACTTAAAAGAAAAGCCCAAAAGATGTTTTAATTGAAGCATCCTGAATTTAATTACAAGAAATTGTAGGGTTGGGGCTGGGAGAGCTGGGTGGTTGGGGGACTTATATTTTGTTTTGTGTCTTGGCAAGAGCTTGTTTTTTAATGAGACACCATTTCACCATGCAAAGCAAAATTCAGACTGTAATCCATGCAGTGTGGGCAGCTTTTAACTGAGTACATCTGAAAAACCCCCAAATTATCAGAGATCACTGCTATCAGAGGTTGTCTATTACATATATTTATAAGTTTCATTTTATTTCTTACATGAGCACTTGAATCAAATTTTTATTAATCTAACAGGTCTGCTCCTAGTGATAAGCATGGATTTCCTCCTGGCTTTTCTCTTTGTTAGCTCCCTGCTCCCAGAGGTGTGGAGGTGGGCTGAGGCTAATTAATATTCCATCACTCAAAGTCCCATAATCGCTGCATTTGACGATCTGCAACAAGTACATGGTTTTCAAAGTAAAGTCTGTTTACTCCAGAGCACAGCTCACTCTGGGACCAGATTAGTACAGCACTCTAATGGCCTTCAGAAAGTTTAGAAACTTAGCTTGCCGTTTCCCATACGAAAAGACACTGAGTACACACTTACACATGATGCATTAGAAACAAAATTAATCCATCGATGTTGGCGCCAGCACAAAAGATGGGAACGTTGTAGGTTAGTCTCTGCAGCAACTGAATACCCTGAGGAAACAGAAAGCTGTTCACATGCTTGTCCTACACCATCTCAGGAGGAATGAAAAAGATGAAACTGAAAGGACAAATATCAAGACACCACAACTGAATTAATTTTCAGACTCTAACATTGACATAGCAGTTACACAAGCTGCTGCAAGCACATTGTAATGTCCTAACATACTGATTAAATTAGTAAAAGCCCTAAAAGATTATTAAGATTTTATTTTGACAGATGAGTTACCTTTTCAGCCCATTTGATGCCTTAAGTTTTATCTTTCATATTTTTCAGATTCTGTACTGCCTTGGTGTGTAACCCAGCTTTATACTAAGTGTTAGGAAGTTCTCTTCACAGGATAGATAGACAAACAATTATTTTCCAGCTTGGGAAACAAGGACAACTGTTAGGTACCCGCTTCAAGCCCAAAGAGCACAAACAACAGTGAATTGAAGAGAACAAATGTGGAGGATGGGACTTCATTAACCTGAAGCTCTAATTGGACAATTAACCCCAATACGTAAATGGACCAAAACTTATAAAAGTGTGAAGCCTTGTGACCATTTTGGGTCCATCTTGGGTGTAGCCCTGGCCAGGCTCTTGTACTGCCCAAGGTGTATCCTTTAAGGCCTTTTAAAAAATACCTTCTTTATTTTTTAGCTCTGTCTAGTCTCTGTTCCAGGTCAGCCTCTCAAGGCATCACATTCAATTCTCCACCTTTGCCTCACCAGCAAGTTCTCCATTCTGTCACTGATAAACAGGCTTTGTCCCACTGAAAGGTCTAGAAGTCTCATCAAAATCAAAAAAAGCACTTTGCAAGCTCGTGCAGAAAGGATGCCTACAGAAAAACAGGTTTGCCCTAAAGAATGACAACAGGTCTAAGGGTAGCAAAGTCCTTCATACAGCACTTTGCTAGCACATAACTGAAGTCAATACACTCAAACATGACAACAATCACAGCAGAGGTTAGCAGTTAAAACTAAATCTCACCATTTAGATATCTAAGAGCTTCAAGGTCTTAAGACAGATCCAATCTGGTAACTACAAAATCTCTCCTATTGACTGGCGAGTCACTTGGATCCCTAGACCTTGTGGTACTCCTAGCGCTTTGAGAAATACACAAACCACAGGAAAAGAGATTTTACTGGATGCCTGACTTATTTTCCACACAAGAGCCACAGGACTACTGGTAAATTAATTTTCTGCTTTTCAGAAAGAGACAAATGACAACAGGCAACCAGCAAGTACTTGCTGAAAGCTTAGAGCAAAACCCGTGCATATTTGAAAAAAAATAAAGAAACCTTTAAGGATAGGTTAAAATTGGTGAGTTCAAACTGACAGTCAGACAGTCACTGTAAGCTTTGATTAGTGCAGTGCCTGGCATTCACTGGCAGATAGCACTGACTAGAAAAAAGGAGGCCACACATGCTCTGCAAACCTCCCATAAAAACAGGCAGCCTCGGCTTTCCTTTCACTCCTTCACAGTTACCTGTCAAGGTACTGATTAGACAAAATGATCTCCAGGCTTGTGTTATGAAACGGCTTGTGTCAGGAGAAACAGCCAAATACCTCAACTGGAAATCAATCTTCTGAGCTCTCAAGCAATGACTTCTTGAAATAATTTTTAAAAAGCAGCATTTTTTTTGGTTGGTTGTTATTTTTGCTTTGTGGGATTTTTTAGGGGCTCTTTGGTTAGAGCAGGTGAGAAGCACAGTATGATTAAAGAGAGTACAAAGAACTCTATAAAATTGTTAAATTCCTGTCATACCCACCTCATACAGCAAATAAAGTACACAGCTAAGATCAACTTCCCTTGACACATTATTTCCAATAGAGCTTTTGAAGAGTTATTGTATGCATACAGCATAATGTTCATTATGCAACAGCAGCCAAACATTATGAAGCATTAGTTCCTTTACCTGTAATAAGACTGGATTACTCAGATTAGTAGAACTTCGATGAACCACTCCTGCCAGCACACTAGTCAGATTGTAGGTGTCCTGGAGAGCTTCTCTAGTCTCTGAGTCTGAAGCTGGAATTTACGAGTCATTAGCAAAAGAAACTGTTGTATTAGCTACCAGTTGAAGCAGAAGCAAAAGTCTCTGAGCAGTTCTTCACCTATGTTTTAAAGGTAACTACAAACAAATGACAGCTCCTACGCTCTTGCCTCTGTACCTCACTTTTGGACATAAATTATAACACTAATCCATTTCCTTAAGAAGGTTGGACACTGAAAGAATAGTCTACCTCCTACCTACCAAGTGTGAGTTCTGACATATTGAAACCTGCACTTCAAGGCTTAGATCTTAAACTCAATGAGCTCAGTTTCTTGCCTCATGCTATGGTGGAAAGACTCAAACTGATAACCTGATAGGGTTATCTAGCATTAGTTAAATAAGTAAATAGAGGCCAGTTCTGCTTAGGCAATCCTCAAAGAGTTGTAGCAAAACAAGTAGATCATTTGGCAGAGGACTTAATTCTTAAAATTTTCCAGAACCCTATAACAAATATAATTTTACATTAATTGTTCCAAAAACATAAAAGGAAGCTCAGAGAGGCTTATACTCCATGAATCAGAGAAGATAAACAAGGGAGCATCATAAAGGACTCAAATCTTGAATAACTACTCATATATGATGAGAAACTAAGCAGTGATGGGATAATTTTTCCCTGTATATGTAGGTTGTGCTCTGAGCACAGAGCTCCCTGGACAACAAAGTCCCATTTCCATGAAATAGAGGGGGAAACAAACCCAAAAAAGGCATCTCAATACACAAGCAAAAGGCAGTAGAACCTCTTTTGCAGTTGGGAAACTTGATGCACATAGGTCAGGCTACTGGAGAGCCCACACTGCCAGTAAGCACTCCAGTGGGAGAGGTAAACTGAGGTGATGACAGTTGAGGATTGTCGCAGACAGGTAAAAGGTGTTATAAAAGAAAGGTCTTATAAAATATGGTTTAGGCCATGCTACTCCAGTAAAGCTAGCAGTAGCTTCCAAGTTCCCATGTGAAGAAATTCTAAGAATGAGAATTTGTTTGCATAACAACCAATTCTTAGAAAAATAAGTGGAACCTGCATAAACAATAGATCTGTGCCACGAGAATCCACCAAAGAAACATGTAAACACCTGTAGATGGAAAGAGTCTTAACACCAACACACACAAGCACTTACTAACCAATGAATTAAGGAGCAAGAAAACTACTAGCCAACCAGAGTTGAACACGAGGTCTGTAAAAACTGTGTAAAAATAGCTATGGGAATAAAGAATTGGCTTCTTCTGCATGAGGAAACTGAGTCCCGACTGATTGTTATTACAACAGAGGATGTGACACCACTTCTCCCTGTCCGTGCATGTCCTAGCCAGGTTTCTCACTTTTCCAGCTCCAAAAATAAAGGACAAGAGAATAATTTCTCACCCTACTCAGTGGATAAATTCTGACAAGCACAATCATTGTCACTCACAGGGATGACTTCAAATCTCCTTCTCACCGCAAAACTTCTTAACAGGTAGCTTAGCCAAGCACTCCACTACAATGAAAAATACTTCATCTTTCACACCTCATGCTTCTTCCAAGACATTAATCACCCACAACACAGAATCAGCATCTGTCTTATCTTCCCTTGCCCAGACAAAAGATAAAAAGTTCAGACACAAACCTTACCTAGCTGTGATAGCAAAGTAACCACAGACAAGACCAGAGAAGGGTTTATATTAGTGTCCTCCAGGAGCTCTACAAGGCAACTGAGACATTCATTTGGTAGAATCTGGTTTGAAGCAAAAAAACGGGTAAGCTTCAGTCCAGAGATAACCTGGAGATGAAAACAGAAAAACAACCTTACTTACTCAACTGCAACAATGTAATTGACACAGAAGACGAAGCACAGAGTTGCATGAAACAGATTTTGTCCTACTTGACAAACTGAGAATGTAAGTGTCATTCTACTGGGACATTTATGTTCACACCTGCTGGGAAAAAAAAAAAAAGGCAGAAATGGAAAAAATATGTTTTTCATCCCTTTATACTTGGAAAGTGCCAAGTTTATCTAGTTTATTTTGAAAGAATAACCATGTCGCAATCAGCCTGCCTTCCAAAGGTCTGGACAGGGACCCAAAGGTGGCACTCTGCAGGGAGGATCAGGCAGTGCTGTTTTGGGAGGACTCTGTGACTGGGATGAAAAAATGGAGCCCTGAGCTAGGGGAACCCTACATAAGAAGAGGCCAAAAATTATATACCTTTACACCAATGCAGGTAGACACAATTTATATTTTGCATATGGGAGACACATAATGTTGGTTTTGTGTATTCCCTCTGTATCTCTTTACAAGGGATATAGGGAAGAAAGCAAAGCGAGATACTAACTCTCACATAAACGTTCTAGCAATTAAAACAAATCTGTATTTGAAAAAGTAACTTGGAGATTAATTCAAAGGCCACCACGTAAGTTGTACACAAAGCTGTACCAGAAGATCAGGGAAATGAACGGGTCCGCCTCCTTAGTAAAAACACGTTTAAATACGTGTTGCACGGAACTGGAAAACTCCAGATGCAAAACTAGTTCGTCACTCGCACGCTATTTTTTAAGCTGTGAAACAATTCATGCCAACCAGAATTTAGGGTATAAATAAAAAAATAAGTCCCCTGTAACCCACACTATCTGCTTGCCCTGGGGGCATATAGACTCACAACACACTTCTGTAAACACACAAACACACCACAAAACGTTCTAATAACAAACACCACAGCCACTCCCACGCCCCGCTCCCTCCGCGCCCCCGGCACGGGCGCCGCTCCGACCTCCAGGCTGCGCTGCAGGAGCGCGGCGTTGTGCGCTGTCCTGGCGGCGCGGTACTCCGTGGCTGCGAGGAGCAGGGCCTTCATGCAGCTCGGGGGGTCCATGGCGGCCCGGCCCGCAGCCGCTGCCTCGGCCCTCACTCGCATTTCCCGCCGCCGTCGCCAGCGTGACGCAGCGACCACTGAGCGCGAGCGGCCGCCGCGCGGCAGCATGGGAGACGCCGCCGCCGCCATCTTGCTTAAGGGAAGCAGGGGCGGGCAGCAACCACGGCTTGGGGCGGGTGGTGAGAGCCGGAGGAGGAGCCGCGGCATCCGGGGAATGCGGGCGCTTGGATCGGTGACAGCGGCTTTAGGGCTGGCGTGCCGTCGGGGCGATCCAGAGGGATGCTTTTCCTAAGCGGAGCTCTGTGTGCTCGGAGGGAGCTGAGTCTTCCAGCCGCTAAGCCTCTGGAGAGCTGCCTCCGATTGGAGCTGCCGTCGCTTACCCACCTGGCGCCCGCAGCCCTGCCTCGCCTTCTTGCTGTCTTTCTAGTCCCCATTACCCTTTCCTCTCCTATTCGGGAGGCTTAAGCCCGGCCACAAGGCAGCCTCCCTTCCCGCCTGTGGCTCCCTGGCCTCTGTCACGGGAGGGGGAAGTTTTAGCAGTGTGCTGCCGATGGCGCGGACCCAGGCTGCGGCGCCGGCACCCGGCCGCGCGTCCGCCTCACACAGCGACCCCCGCAGGCCGGTGCGGGCACAGCGCCCGCTCCCGCTGCCTGCGCTGCAGCGGGAATCCTTCCCTCGCACTCCTTGCAGCTGGAGCGCCGCGGGACGGCGGGATCGTGCCCTTCTTGGACCATATTTTTCCTTACACCATGTGCTCGAAGGTCGAGGGTACAAGAGATTCCGCGCCCCTACTGCTCAACCCCCCGACATGGACAAACACTCCCTCATCCGCCCGCCTTTCAGATGTCGGCAGGTGGATGCTGCTGTGTGAAGCTTTTGAATATATTTTTTCAGCTTGTGCACAGATTGTTTTCTGCCATATTAGGCCTAAATGTAATAAATAGGTGTGATTCGTGCTGATAAAATTGAAACAGTAATCAATATTGATACAGTAATTAATATTTAGAAATAATAAAACAGTTAAAGGATTAAAATACATAAATAATTTGTGAAGGGTCTTTAACATACAACCAATGTAAATGTCTTCCTCACAGTCTCAAATGGTGAGCAAGTCTATAGTAGTGACTGGAAGACTCAGGACTTACATTCCAGGTTTGGCTGTGGCTGCTAGTTGCAGGCCACCTTCAGAACTATAGTATTTATTAAATATTTAAAATTGGGGTTAATATTAAAGCAAATTCTTGCATTAAAAGCAAACAACAAAAGACATACATAATGGCAGTAGAAAATGAAATGGCGTATTTCCATATGTAGAGAACCTATTAAAAAAAGGATGTGTAACAAAAAGTACTTCTTTTATTGCTGAGCAAACATGCATAATAGCTTCTATGGATCTACTGGTTGAAGATGCAGCTACTCTGATAGTCTGCAACAGGAGGAGGTAATTCCAGATCTGGAGCAGAGGACACCCAGCTGGAAGCTCTCTCCAGCTGAGGCCCTGGAATGCTGGGGCACATCCTGGAATGGCAGCTTCTGAAACCATCAGGTGCAGATCCTTCAGGGTAAGACATCGACATAATCGCCGCTGTCATCAGCTTCTGTGAAGTAATCAATACAAACAAAAAATATATCATTGCAAAGCACTCTTCTGAAAGGCTGTGGGAAGCTGCACGTCCTGTGGCAGGGCAGATATCAGTAACTCAGTTTGGTTTCTCAGTGTGCTATTGCATTGCCAACGTTTAGGCCCCCTCTCCTATGGACTGGATTCTCCAGGAAAAGGCAAAGCCTGCATTGCCTTTTCTGAGCCAGCAAGCACTGCTGTAAACAGTTGTATTCATATGATACCCCCCTCCATCCTGAGGAATAGTCAAATGTCAGAAATCATCCATTCTTGGTAAATCAAATCAGTAGCTGAGATACCTGTGACTCTCATAATGCATTCCTTGTTCTGTAAATAAATACCCAAGAGACAAGTTCTCATCCCAACTAAAGGAGGAGAGCCTGAAAAATCCTGTTCTCTCTTACACTTTGTAAGATTTGTTACGGTTTTTGAGAAGCCAGGGAAAAGGCAGACATTCAAAGCTTGGAACTCAGAGTTCCACTATGGAAACCTATTGCTGTTCAAGCAGCTGCCCTCAGAAAAGCTGTTCCTAGGCTGGAAAACAAAGCTCAAATATCTCCAACCACCAGGATTGTGACCTCAGTCCCTTGAGGTCTTCCATTGGTTGCGCTGGAGCGCTCAGTCCCACGTGTGCAGCAAAGCCAGCTGCTGGTAGCATGTGAGAGACGTGCTTGCTTTAGGCAAAAAAAGTGCCAAAACACAGGCACTGCTGTGCTTTGGGCAGTGCCCGTGTTTTGGAGAGCGTGACATTTACATAAGCCCCTGCTATGGGCATGCAGCCTGAGAGGGAAGTTTGGAATGCTGTATAAGTGAAATTTAAATAAAAATTTAATAAAAACAATTCCAAAGCAGCTTGATTATTTCTAAAAAGTCTCCAAATATAGGTAGGAAGACTACCTATATTTTTACATTGAAATAAAAGGGCTTGTTTTCCTCCCTGTGATTCCAGATGAGGACACTGTTCATTTTCTAGAAAAATTCCTATTGCAGGACCAAAAATAAAATACGTATGACATCTGATTCTTCCTAAAAGCATATCCATGTTACTGCAATATTTTCCGTCTGCCTGCAACAGCAATGATAAGAAACCATAACAACATTTTTTAGAGTAAAATGTGGCAAATTTACCGTGTGATACAGGTGACAAGGTAAAGTTGATGACATGGGAAATGTGTCTCTGTGGCTTCCCCTCAGCAAGGTTGCTGGGGCTCAGGCCCCAAAATTGCAGCAGTGCACGCAGAGCTGGGAGAGCTTGGCCAGAGCGGTTGCACAGCTCTTGTATGTGAAACCTCAGCGACTGCAGCACAGAGAGGCTGTCTGTCAGAGACTGAAATAGTTCATGCCTCAAACTTTGATATAAGTTCTGCTCATTGTAACAAAAACTGTATAAAGAAGCTACAACCAAAGAAGCCTCCCTGAAGTTGCCTGACTGGAACTTTGGACTGAAAGTCAAACTACTGATATTATATAAAGGAAAACCCATTCTTCAATCACCTGAAACAAACAAGTAAACAAGGAAGAGAGCCAAACCCAGAAGCCGTACTGAGAATCATCACTTCGAGGCCGTAGCCCTCAGACCCCTTTTCTGGGAGGAGGTTTGGACAGATTTCTCCACCAGCCAAGGTGGGGGGAGGAAGTTTTGGCGTGTTGTAACCTCTGCCCATCCTCCCTTGCACAGCCTGGCTATGGAACCCCCAACCTTGGGAAGGCCACATCCACGGGCATTCACCTGAGAGGCTGCTGAGGGAGTGTCTTAATCCATCAAAGACTCCCTGAAGTGCCCCCAGAGTCGTTCCTGAAGCCTTGCATCACAAGGCTGCACGCGATACAAAAATCCGAGAGCCTGTTGTAAGAGACAATGGCAAACTCCCCCCTGCCCCAGGGGGGTGCCTGGGTTTTCCTACCTAGCCTGAGTGTATGTTAAGCCATTGGATTCTGTGCATTCTGGGGAGACCTTCACCCCCGAGATGACCGGCTGAGAGGATCAAAGAAACATTGTAGGGATTCATGGAGTGGTGATACTTTGTCACTCCTTCTGTCCCCCCAACCTCTTTCTCCTTTCTCTTCTTTTTACACTCCTTTTTCTCACTCTCCCTCTCATATTTACTATAAAATAAAATTCATACTATTGTCACTGGCATGTGGTCTCATTTGCTCCTTAATTTGGGCAGAGGCATTTCTAATAACTTTAATAACTGGATCATAACACTGCCCCACACCACCATGCTGAGATGCTGTTGGGCATGAGATGCAAATCACAGGGCAGGATGGAGACTCCAAAGTTCTGTTTCCTTTATGATACCTGTACTTAACAAAAGGATTTCCCTTACTCACGTGTGTCCTGGCTGGGGCTCTCGGCACACTCTGCCAGAGGTCATCGAACAGCCTCAGGGTTATTTTGCAGCCCATGGCCTGATGGATGCTGCAGCTCAGTGTTGTACAGAAGGAACATGAAGAATGGTGTGAGGGATACTAGCAAGTTATCAACAGTATCTGCACTCATGCTTCTCAAAACAAGGATGAAAGGATGACATGGGGCTATACAACACAATCTAAAGCTTTATGAGAAAAAAATCCTTTTTTTCTCATAAAATGCTATCCATTTGCATAATTCTGTCAGGTAGAAGCATCATATCCTCATCCTACACCTGGGACTCGTGAGCATAAATTAGCAGAAGAGCAATGAGAGGCTGAATTCTGGTTCCAAAGCTGGGACCCTGAGCACAAGGCTGTACGCTTATCACTTAGTCATGTTTGAATACAAATCACAAGCTGGCTTGCTTGCCTGCCCATCTTAGAACTAACTGAGTAAGGTTTTGATATAAAAATATCTTAGAACCTGGACAATGAAGGTAAAGGACAGCCTCAACCCCCAAGTGCAAGGGCCTGGTACCTTGGCAGAAGCACATTGGTTAAAACTGGTTCTCAGTCTTCTCCAGCCTAGAAGCATCAACATCCATGAACAAGAGAGCTGGAGGCAGCTTTTTTTCATCATTGTGTATCTCTAGTGATTTTAATTTGTTCATTTGTAGTGGGTGAAGGTAAGTAACCTGTGAGCTAAGAATAACCACTTCAGTGAACATAAGAGAGAAGGGAGGATGTAAAACTTCTGTCCATGCAAAAGAAAGTTTAGCAAGTATTCACCACAAACCTGTCAATGCTGTCATCTTTAAAAAACCCACAAAGGCAGGGCTAAGTTTCTCACCATCATAAATATTGTCCATTCCTGACTTGAACCTCTGGCTTCTTTGCAAGGCTTTTGGTTTCTTCACTGGGTAGCGCAGGTTTATTATCAGTCCTTGATTTGGCTTTTCAAAAGCGTATATTAAGTCCTTTAATGTTTTGAAGGTCCTCTCTGGAACACCTTCAGAAGTCTGTAAGGAAAGAATAACAAAATGTGTTTGCAAGTTCCCTTCACAGCGAGTCCCCTAAATGAAAAGGATGATAAGTTGCTTCTTATTTACCAAGGAGCTGTTTTGTAAACAGGTTTGGTGACAGAATATTGCACTGTCCTTAAAACACTAGGGACACCTGTTTGGAGCCATGGTTATGGCATTGAAAGTAACCTCCCTCACAATCTTTTTTTTTTTTTTAAGAACATCAGTTAAATTATTGGTATAGTTGTGTGCTGCAGCAATCCACTACAGCAGAGTGTTAAAGAGTGACAGCATTACACACTGCACTCTGGTCTGAGAGCAAAAGTTTAGGGATAACATATTTAATTCTCACTTAAAATGCTGGCTTTAAATAACTAGGTGACAAACAGAACTCAAATTTTTACGAAATATCAGCATTGGGAAGCAAAGGTCGTGCGCAAAAAACTGTTCTTCAGGTGTGGGTTCACATGACAGGACTGAACTGCTCCTGCAGCTCAGCCCTGCAGGGATCTGTGCATGGACTTTACAGTGCTGTGACTTCAGGGCAGTGACAGACAGTGAGCAGCCTACTAGTAGTCATTAAAAGAGAACAGGGCTTTGGTTTCACTAACAAAGAAATGTATTTATTTTCTTTGGTTTTTCTGCATCCTTCATCTTCCAGTCAGCCCTGGGTGGACTGGGTGCCAATGCCTATGTGTACTGGGTCTGCCTGGGATGAGTTAGCTTCCTTCATAGCAGCCTGCATAGTGCTGTGCTCTGCATTTGTGACTGAAACAGTGCTGTTAACACAGCCACATTTTGGCTGTTGCTGAACAGTGCTCGTGCAGTGTCACCATGATATTTTCTGAAAAATCCTTTCGCCAGTATTTCTTCTCCTGGGAAGCTGAGAGGCCTCATAGAGGAACGAAAACAATAATTATCTGATTGCTGCTCCTGTGTTTTGCTGCTTTGGAATGTGGCCTGGAGATCGTTTACCCACAGGTGCGTGTTTGATTGGTTCCATGTGAATTGTTTTAACTTAATGACCAATCACCATCAGCTGTGTTGGACTCTGAGGAGTCAGTCACGAGTTTTTATTATTAATTCTTGTTAAGCCTTCTATCTGTATCCTTTCTCTATAGCTTAGTATAGTATTCTTTTAATGTAATATATATCATAATATAATAAATCAGTGTTCTGAGAACGTGGAGTCAGATGCACTCATCTCTCACCTCATCCTGGGGACCCCTCACAAAGACCACAGTGCAGCACTAAGGAACCCCTCACAAAGACCACAGTGCAGCACTAAGGATGTCTTTCTTGCACTTGGCTCCCCTGGGGAGTAGGCTGGGGGTGTGCAAGATGCTGGCTGTCCCATCTTACCCCATCTGACACTGTACTCAGCAATAAAAGCGTAGGGAAAGGAAGTACGTCTGTGGTTATGTGTGTGCTGAGGCCTCACTTTCCAGGAGGTCACTAAATATCTGCCTCCTGATGGGAAAGAGTTGCTAAACTTCTTTGCTTTGCTTGTGTGCACGACTTTGCTTTACCTCTTAACCCACTACACTGTATTTTATTCAGTCCAGGAGTTTCCTCACTTTTGCTCTTTGTGTTATCTTCCCCCAACCCTGTCCTACAAACCCTATTGATTTTTTAAAATCTATGATCATAGACTAAAATGATAATAGATTAAAATTACCATTGATCATAGATGAATCTAAGATATTTTAATTTATGATTTTTTAAAAATCTATGATCATTAATTCAATCTTTAGAGATGCAATGAGAGTTACTCACCTGTATTCTAAAATACCCTTGGTGTTCTCTGAAGATACGGTAAGTGTAGATAAGGTCCTCAAAGCTGTGAAAATCATTGTATACATAACACATCACATTAACAAAGTGGATATATCTGCAAACAGTATTAATGACATGAGAAGTGCAGTAAAATTGAATGAGGCAGAGACAGGAAAGCAAAAGACAAGAGATCCTAGAGATTACAACATGAGTGAAGGTTTAATATCTTGAAATACAAGATTACTTTGACTAGGAGTTTCAAAGAACATATGAACTAAGCCTAACAGAGGCCTTTAACAAGCATAATTTCATTCCACAGACATCACCTCTTCTCATCTCTCTCTTATCTTCCTCACTGCTCTAACCTTCATTTTGCATTTCTGTCACAAGAAGGCTGTGGAATTCTTGGAGAGATGTAGGCAGAAAATGGCCTCCAGTCACCAGCAGCCAGAAAATTACTATATGGCTCCTACTTCTGAGAATAATAGTCTTCCTTTGCATTTCCCAAGGTTTTAGTCATTGTTATTTTTGATAATAAGCAGGTGTTTGAACACTGAGGCTACTGATGTCTTTGGATATATTTTGTCAACAGAAATAAAAGCTTTATCAGATACCACAGTAGCAGCAATTCAGGAGGTGGACTAGAGATTGTGACTGTGATCAAAAAAGGTAGCAGAGTTGCAAGAAAATATACATCACAAATAAGTGAGGAGGTTGAGGAGATGGGGGAGCAGCACTTGAAAACAAGTTTTTTTAACTCTTGTGCCTGTTCATCAGGAGGACTTCAGCTGTGGCTATGTGAAGTGAACTGTCATGAGAAGGAGAATCTTGGGGCAGGAACCTGGCTGAGGGCACTTGAACAGAAGTGAAGGGTTACTGAAAATAAGCTACTTCGTTCTGCAAAAAAAGTTACTATGAACTAAAATCAGAATAAAGCTTTCAGTTATAACAGGTTTAATTTAATTCAAAAAGTGGTATCACAGGGATGCATATTTTGGTTTTTGTCTTCTTGAGATACCTGTGGAAATATACATGTTCCTTGCTGAAAAGTACTTTTACAAATGTGAGTGCTTACAGAGACGGATAAGTGAGAAAAACAAATACCAAGAACTGATAATTTTTGAAACTTGTTCTTTACTGATAAACTAAATATTAAAACGTTTCTGCCTGGATATTACTTAGGTACTGTAATTCTTACTAAATTAACATGAAACTACCATTAAAATGGAAACTTCTGTCTCCTCATTAACTACTAAATGCTTACCAAGAGCTAGTAAATAGTACAAATAGACAAATGTTTTGTCTGGAAGAAAAGCGAGGTGAGAGGGAAAATGGCATGTTGAACAGTAAGGAGAACAGTAGCAAAACCAGTAGGTCTGAACTGAAGTGCTGTCAGCCACCTGGGATAATTCTAGATGAGACAGGGCACCTTGCCTGATTAGAGAGGAGAGATGCATTTGAACTGGTCACACCATTCTGCCTCCCAGGTCCTCCATGGGAATGCACTCCCCCCCATATTCCAGTAGAAAAGGACAAGAAAGTTTGTTTGTTTGCTGTAGCGAGTGGATCAGTGTCTCTGCCCACAGATCAGTTAATTTGAGAAGGGTTTATCAGTTTTCACATAAACCATGTTAGGTGCTAAACAAGGTGTTGAACTGCTAATTCAAAAGCTGGAATCACCTTTCAGCATCACTAAGAGTTTCAGTGTTGGTTGCCCACAGTTTCAGGGTAGTTTGCCTAGTGAACCACTGCCAGGCAGCTCAGTTTCTGGGGCAATTCTCAGCCAGTGCACTAATACTATCCCATGTGCTGTCTGAACACAAGCCTTGCTCTGACCTGTGCAAGCCACCATCTGTGTACCACTGCTGCCACTCTTGCAGTTTAACTATGGCATTTGTTCATGTCAGGATTATAGGCAAATCCACTAAATACTTCAGTTTTTATCAGCTTTTAACACTAAAACCCACAGAGGCAAACTGGAGGTCATGATGTGCCAGGCCAAAGTATGTCTGCAAGACATCACAAGGCAAATCTGCTTTGCCCTTAAAAAAAGAAAAAGACAAAAGGAAAAGCATCTGTGTTGGTGTGGCACAAAGCCTAACCCAGGTTCTAACTAACATTGCCATTCTTCCTCTGTGCCATGTTCCCCATTTGTCCCTTCTGACAAGGTATGCATGTGCCTTCCCTCCCACCTCCCTGCCCTTCCCTCAGCCCCTGCATTGTCTCATTCCACACCATACTGAAAGCAAGTTCCTGTAGCTCCCTTGCTGAGGGCTCTGTCCCCACCTTGCTATTTCTCTTCTACTCGTTCTGTTATTTTGCAATCTCCTTTCTTCTACCTGCCAACCCAGTAGTACTCAATTTCTCTCTTTTTCTCCCCTCTCCATTGATTTATTTAATAACAAATTCATTTCTAGTGATTGATAAAAACATCTTATATTTGTTCATTAATTAGATGTGTTAAAAGGTTTTCATGTCACACTCAAACGTATCTGCAACAAGAGTGCAGAACCTCATAGGTTCAAACAAAGACCTAGATTTTAGTTTTTAAACTTTGAATGCATTATGAACAGATCAATTATATATGAAAAGAGTAAAAAGGGAAATAAAAGTGCTATTCCCTACAGAAAAAGAAAATAATAAAATTTTAATTGTAGTAATTAAAGCTTTGGACTAGAAGTAGCAGTTTTCTATGCCCATCTTGTTTGTGGATTTGTCATATAAATTCAAACAGAACTTTGCAATGTCAGCCTCAGCCTATGTTCATATATCAGGTAAAATTCCTTTGAAACACAAGGATGAGTTTTTATCAGACAGAAAGTCTACAAAGAAGGAAGTGTTTTGTAACACGCCATGAGACTTTTCAGTGTCTCAACACTACTAAAATGCTTTTTACTCATCATTACAGAGGCAGTTACTTTGAGTAAGGATCTTAGCATCTTTTGGCAGGCTGAGGTATTTTCTCTGGGCTCCCTTTATTGTCTGCAGAGAGAAACCAGCCAGCATCACCAGACTATAGTTCATTTATCATCTGTTACATAAAATGGCTTTTTGGAAATGCCACCCCTTCACTTGTCACTATAAAGGACACCTAAAGCAACCAGCACTACTTGAATACATAGACACACTCCCTTGGAGTCTGTTAATATCAGAGAAGAACTATTAATGTTAGAGAAGATGATTGTTGTCTTTAGATCCAACTGAAAGCTCATAAAAAAATCAGTATTAGGGTACTTACAAAACACAGAGACACAAGGCTCCTTCCACACTCTCACTCTCCCGTATTAAGTAGCTGCCATTCTTTTTCTTCTCGCTCAGCAGCTCTTCACAGGTTTTTCTTGTTATCTTTCCATGAAAAAATGGGAATTCCATGGGCCAAAGAAAACAAGGTAGCTTGCCTTTCAAAGCAATTCTAGAGCAAGTCAGAAGCCTGGCATGAGAAGAAACCTTGTTCCAAAGGCAGCTGCCTGTGGACATCTGAAGTTGGAGGTGCCAAGGACACACAGGAGTTCATCTGTGTTGTTTACTGACTGTCCCCCAGTGAGGTGGATTAGTTCTGCAGCTTGACAGCTCATGAGCTCCGTGGAGGCAGGAAAAGGTTGGTCTACACTGCTCACAGTCCACATCAAAAAGGAAGACACTTTTGTCACATTATACCAGCAGACTTTTGGGTTATGTATCACACCTCTAAGCTATGAAATCACTAAGTTGACACTGAGTTATAGTTACATTTTTAAGTTAACTTTTATGTTTAAAGTGGCTCAAAGCCCAGCAAATAGGGTCATATGCTTCAGGAATAAGTCAGGACTGTATAGGGGAGGGTAAAGTTATGTAAAAGCACTCTTGTGCACTTTTTTCGGGTGATTTTGAGAAGAGAAAATAAGTATTTGTGATATTTTAATCAGCATCAGTCATGAAGCCATAGGATGTGCCAGAAAAAAAAATGGCAATTCTCTGTTCATGCAGAAGTTTAAACAAATTTCATCAAAATAAGCTGTATAATGACACAAGGTGTTTAATGGAGGAGCAGTGTGAGATGCAGGGACTGCTGTCATCTTGATCACAGAGAAAAAAAATTGTGGAAAAACCAAGGTAAATACTGATAGAACACTGTAAGCAAAACCAACCATGTTTTACATGCAGCTGTTACATTCGTGTTTTTTCTCTGACAACTTTGTACACACAAAAATCTTACATTAACATTTGTGTGTTTAACTGCACGTTGATCATGTATCACACTAAGACCATTTCCAGATGGTGTCTTAGTTAGTTCAGGAATAAAGTACCTCTAAAAAGGTACTGTTTTGTCTCAAAGAAATGTAGAAACTTAAGGAAGAAAGATATCCCAAGAGAGAAACCAAGAAATGGCATGTCCAAGGTGATGCTGTCGCTGAGGTCTGTCATGCAGTGATCACAAGTTACTGATAAAACAAGTCCTGATCACCAAGGAACTTGTTTATGTAGTTAGATCCTCCGGTTTCAGCTGTCTGCAGACAGCTGCACTTGGAATAAGTCTTATTTTATCTTCCAATGGGATGGGGATAGTGATATTGGGAGGGAAATATCCCTGTCTTGTAAGCATCCTTAAGAACAAACATCCTTATGTGACAAAGATTCTCCTTCTTATCAAATGCCCTTGTATTTTCCTCAGGTTAAAACTGTTTGTGGCCTTTTTTCTTCACATTGTATAAATAAACATTTTCCATGAGGTATTGTGAGGTGAATGGTTTTTCCAGAAGCCCAGCTCTGCAAATGAAGAGCAGCAGCTGCTCAGCACTGTCCTGCTTCAGGCAGGTTCTCTGCTTGTATTGAAAAGAAGGTAGATAGGAAACAACTGCAAATTCCCCTTTCAAGAAGATAAGAAATCAATGTTCTTCACAATTTTCTCTGAAGGTCTCATTACCTAGGTGCAGAAATATAAGACAGTAGTTTCAGTAGATCTTGCAGATCTGAATGTAGAATATACTTAAAGTGAAATAGCAACCACGCGCTACCTGCTGTTGGCTTAGCAGAGTGTTTGTCTGATATAAAAAAATAAAAAAAAAATCTTAAGAAGAGGAAAGTGCTTGAGAAGAAATGGGGATGGGGTCTCCTTCCAGCAGCAGTCACCACCCACTGGTCCAATCACCTTCCTCCTCAGTTGTCTCCACAGCTCCCTGAGAGCATTCAGGAATTAACATTGTCCTTTTACCTCACCTCACCTCATCTGTCTGTAATATCCAAATGAACCTGAGAATAGGATAGAATGCTTGATTTAAAAGCAGAAATAATTGAAATATACTAGAGAAAGGGGTCTGCAAGGGGGAAAGGAGAGAGGCTGTAAATATGGTATGGTCAGTCAATAAATATATGTGACTAAATATATATCACTAAAATATTGGTGTGTGTGTGTGTATGTGTATGTGTGTGTGTTTGAGGGCTAATCCAGAGCAAAACCACACCGCTTCTGACAAATATACAACAGGACTTGCTGATCCTAGCCTGGGATACCTGTTGATGGATGCTGTGTAACAACTGGCAGGTGGGGGATTTCCTTGTCAGTCACCAGAGCTGCACCATGAGCCTCACCACAACTTGTACACCACAGCACTGAATCTTTACAGTGTATGTAGGGGTCACATAACAATATAATTCCATGGGCCTAATGTAGCCTAATGAAAACTCTGAGCAAATATTTCCTAACATAAACATTTCCAGCTTAACAAATCTTGCAAGTATTTTTGGCTTACACAAACCTGCAAACCCAGGCTGCCTCCTCAGCCAAATCTGAAGAGTGGTAAGAAATATGACCTGAGGATCTTAAGTTTGATTAAATGTATGATGAGAGACTTGGGGAGCTGAAATGGCAGTGATGTCCCAAGGCAGTGGGGCTTGGGTGGTTAAGGCAGTTGCACCAGGCTGAGCCTCTGGGAATCTTAGCTGCACCAAACAAAGCAGTAGCTCATGTTAATCTGTGCTTAATGTCATTTTACTCCATTCCAAAATAAAATTGGGTTCTTTTTTATTTCTCATCCACTTAAGGAGATTTCACAGTTCCTAGGACAGACCTTCTGCAGTGACTATCCTTTCAGATGGCAGAGAACAGGGGGAAAACAAGGTCCTTTTTCCTGAGAGACTGTCTCTTGGCCTGCTTCTACCATAGCATGGGGAAAAAAACAGAGTTTCACTTCCTAAAAATCTTCCGTATGTCAAAACAATCACATCCTTCAATCAGTCTTACACTTTCTGAAGTTAATGCAATCACTTCCGAAGGAAGTATTTTTCCATAAGCCACCTTTTCTTGCAATTGTTTCTTTACCTTTCTCTGGCACCACTTTGGCTACTACTTCTGTAAAATTTGATGCCTATAAATAAGCAAGTCTTTTGATTAGAAGAGCAGGATAGTTAGGCACTCTTCCCTTCACAAACAGGTGCTAGAGAAACAAGACCTGCAACATTTTGGCAGCAGTGCCAAGCCCTTGTTGATGGTATAGCTCATTGGCTTTCTGCCATTCGGCTCCCTGGACTAATTTTCTTTTTTTTTTCGTCTGTTATTGTAAAACTTAGCAGGGCTATTTCATAGTGACACTTCATATTAACAAGCACAGTTGGAGCTCTGGTTCTGCAATGTCTCCTGGCTGCAGCTCCAGCACAGCAAAGCTCTTGACAGTGCCTTCTGTAAGAAGAGGAAATCTGGGCAGAAGCTAGGCTGCGTGACAACACAGCCTAGGGTCAGACTTTCAGTGAATCATCAGGCACAGTGTGGGATATCCAGGCTAAATAAAAGCTGTGGTCAAAAGCAAAACCAGTGTGCTTGAACTGTTGTGAGTAAAGCAAGGAGCTGAAGGTCATTTCGTATCTGGCCAGAAAGAAAAAAACCAGCCCCAACATAAAAAACCAGAAAGTAAGTTGAGTTCTAGCTAAATCTCCTGAAATATGAGTTCTTGTTGAGTTGTGTCTCTGGGCAGTCCCAGTCCTGTGGCTCACTCTACCAACAGAACCAATAATGTTTTTGCAAGAAGAACTGTTACAGCAAAAAATTACATTTAATTTCAATTTACAGCTTTAGCATGATATCTACACCAGGCTGTACTTTTGCAATTTACTGTGCCTGGACACAAAGGGATTTTTTTGGTAGTATCTGTTGATGGCAAGATTTACTTGACACTGAAAGAAAAATCATTATGATGTAAATTCAAGAAGAAAATTGAACTAGTGTGTCTGTTACTTAGAGATTGCTGCTACAGCTTTCTGTGGAGCCCCAAGGCATCAGAGCTTTCCCATTAGCTTTCTAATAAAATATAAACCTAGGAGGAAAAGCCTGTGTTATAACTCTCTTAACATACTGCCTGTTTTTTAAAATACAAGTAAAGAGAAAATGGTAGTTCAGAATGAAAGTGGTAGTTCAAAATGAACTGAGAATGGTAGTTCAAACTTGTCTGTGCTAAAATTTGAGTTAAAAAGTCACAGAGCCAAACAATTATAAAAGGTTTATAAGACACATGAATCTGTGTAAGTAGTGGGTTTTGGTCTTAAAATTATCTAGAATTTTACTTAAATGTTTACTTACAGGATAGAGTCATAAAACAATAATTTGCTTCTCACTGGCAACCACATTGTCAGGGTTCAGAGTGATCCATATTCAATTACTGCCTGAGCTTATAATAGCTGCAATGTTTGTATTTAAGTTATGATCTGCCTCTGAGGCAGGGTAACTGAGGCTCTTGTTAATAGATCCCTTGGAGTGAATTAGAATTAGAGTGAAACAATACTGAATGTCCAGTTTATATATGAGGCATACTTATTTTAAAACAATTGAATTGCAGCAGAAAGAAGGAATGTAGCCATTTTAGTTCTTTCCTACAAAAATATAGAAATATATCCTGAAAATTCAGCTTGTAAGACATCATTCATTGGTCTCAAATATTACATAAATCAATTAATGAAATGCAGTAAAAAGCTAGCTCATGTCATAATGCCCCCAAAGTACTGCCCTCCTGTTAAGAAATGTGCAAATGGAGCCGTAGGAAGTGACAAACCTCACTTACACTTAATCACATTTCTGTACTTCCGCTACATACTCCATCACATACAACTGCACTATAAAGTTGGAGTTTTGTCTTAATATTTGACAAGACTTGGTCCAAGGTGTTTATCTGTCCTTCACATCTAGAGTCATATTAATAGTGTCATCATTTATAACTTGTGAATTTTCTGTTACTAGTAGCTCTTTTTACCATTACTAATATTTTCCTAGTCACTAGTTTATAGTGTCCTGTCAGAATGCTGTGTACATGACAACTGCAGCTTGTCACATTGGAACAGTGCCATCTTTGCATAATATTGAAAACAACACTTATCCCCCCATAGCAATTAGGCACTGAATAATGTAAAGAAAAGCAGGATGACAACATACAAATTTAAGAGGGCTCTTGCATCATTTTCTAAACCACTCTTCCTTCACATAATCCTCTTCCTTTACTGATGGTCTGGGCAGC